GAATGGTATTGCCCGAGATTCCATTTCAGGCTTACTGACCGATAGGGTCACTCAATCACTGATATGTGGACAGGGCACCCAGCTAGATATTCCAAGATGTATTTGGATATAAAAGGAGATCAGGTCTTTTCTGTATACAGGACTCCTTAACCACTAGTCAGACACACTGTCTATCTATCTATGTGCTAAGATATTAGTATTAGAAGTATTAGCAAAGTAGACAACTCCAATGCACTAGAACCGAGGTGTGAAAGTATGTATCACAATTAAACCTTAAGCCATGGTACTAAGCCAGAAAAGAGAAAAAGAGTTTAGGAAACTTGGTGTCTTTTTTAGAAGAGGAAGTAGAAACACAAAATGGCAGAAACACAAATTAGTGGCAGTGTCTGCAGTGATATGGAAGCTTTATCTTCTTTATCTGTTGTGAAAGAGAAAGAGCTGATAAAGTTTGCCAGTCTGTGTTCCACAGCCCATCTAGGTACTCAAATTGAGCAGCAACCAAAAGAATACAAACGTAAGTAACTTACGAGTGTCGCTGTAACACTCAAGCGGAGGCTTAAACATCAGCAGAAAATTCAAATGGTTGAATTGGTCTTTCTGTCAGCCTCCTTTCCTGTTTCATTAGGAAAGAAGCCTGTTTAGATTGGCTCTTCCTCCCCAGGAAAAGGCCCAGTTTGGAGTTATATTGAAAATTTTAGGGCCTGACCCAGGGCTCACCAAACAGATTGGCTGTTGGTCTGTCAGCTAACTAACTGTCCCTCCACAAGAGCTGAAGGAGGTGACTGAGAATAAACCTGCTCCCCGATAAGTGGTAGGAAATGAAGGGGAATGATAAGACTATTAACACACTCATGATGCCTGATCAGTGTACATCTTTGCAGAAGCTGCTTATTAAAGCCTTGAATCTAACAGGTTGTGATGTGTCTGGTTCACATGCAGGATGAGTAATCTGTTGAATAGGTAGAGCTTCAAATGTGGAGATACGGGTACACTACACATACTTTGCGAGTACACCAGTATTGTCATGATTCACTTAGCAATTGTATGACTTTTATTCTCATTTGATTTCATAATTCACTTGTATTTTTTCAAATTTTTGTTGGAGAGATCATTAGCCTACAGTTGACAGTCATTTTGCGAACAAAATCCACAGACGGTGGATTACCTACAGCTATACAGAGAAAAGTAATGATCCACAGGGGGAGGTATACATCACTGAAATATATATATATATATATATATATATATATATTACTGAAATATTGTGTAATGTCTTAAATATCTGTTTCTCATTAAAACTAAACCATCTGCTGCTGGATGTGTAAGTGTGCAATAATTGCATTATTTCAGGTTTTCCCAAAGCCCTCTCTTCCCCACTATGCTGATTTCCCCTCTACTAAAACCTCTCAATTTTTCAATTACATTTCAATTTTAAATGAGCCACTTCATAAATGTAAAAATATTCATCTGCTGATGTTTCTGTCTCTTATTGAGGGTTACAGAGACCCTCGTAAGTCACTTATGCTGTTAGAAGGTGAGCACAAAATCAGTGGGCACCAAAAGAGCAGCAATCCATTTGTAATGAAAGGTCTGTGAATGGGAATGGGTAAAACAAGAAGTAGAAAAAAGTTAGTTATATTGACAATTGTTGTTTGTTGTTAATTTGGAAATAGCTGCCTTCCAAACACCACTTCACTGGTTATTTTCCACAGTAGACAGAGTGAATCTTTGCTCTGGCGTTTCCATGTTCGGATCATATTGCCAAAGAAAGTGACAAAGTTTTGCAAGCTGTCGTGGTTTGTCAGAGTTATTTTGAAAGAACTCAGAATTCCACAGCAAGGTGTCCTTGTTTTTCAGGTATTGAATTTCTCAAGACACGCTCCGTGATGCTTAACTAAACAAGGGCAGGATGATGTTGTGAATCCACAAATCATGAAATTCGAAATCTTATTTGTAACAGCATGCTTTTTTTTTTTTTTTTTTTAATTTGAAACGACCAAAGAATGACCAGAGATTAATTGAGCCACGTTAATCTCATATAGCTCACAAGGAATCTGGTGGAAAGTAACTTTTTAATTCTGCCAGTTGATGTACCATGACTTCATTTCTTCATGTGCTGATGTTCTAAATCTTATGGTGTTCATTTATTATTGGAGCTGTTAATAATAATAAGCACTGGCTTTCAATATTAGAAGCATAGAATAAAAAAACAAATGCTTTTTTCCAAACTGGGATTGAAGAAACATCAATAAGGAAGTGACTGAAAATTCTTCCTTTGTTGTCAGGAAAATTTGCCCCATTGTCCCGATGCAAACTTTTCAGGTTCCGGATAAAGTGTGAGTCAAGTTCCTGGAGTTATACTTTAATATGTGTTGGAAGTCACTAAAAAGACGCCTCATCTGAGGAAAATTGGCGGTTCTGTTACCACTGCAGGAGATAGTGGGAAAAAACACACAAAAGTATGACAATAGAAAAAAAAAAACATGACCAAGGTATTACATTCACCTCATGAAATTCTGCAGGTTTCGGTTAAATATTAATGGGAGCACCCATGTTATTTGGTGTCTGCTAACAGACTCAAGAGAGAGGCTGTGGACAGAAATGGCTTCAATCTAAATAACCTCCTGAATTGGCAATCCTGAAAATCGTGTAGTTTGATCTGCCATGTCATTTTGTCTCCATTCTACCTATACTCTATAAACTGGCATTTTACTTCAGCAACAAGTGCACAGAGCAGAGTTTTCGACTAGACTTGAGATTGAATGTTGTTTAATCATGTGTCACTTTTATTTTAAAAAAGCCTGCTAAATGACTAAATGGAAATTAGAATACTGTTGCAAGGCACATTAGCATATGATTGACTCCTGAATATTTGATTAATTCAAAGGCTAATTTAGTTTTGAGCTTCTGCCAGCTTATCAGCGAAAATGTATTCAGAATTAATTTGCCTAAATTTTCTCAAATTTCAACCATGATATTGTAACAGATACCATGAGTGTGTAAATGGATAAGGGAAGCCTTATAAGCAGTTTGAGGCTAATCATGGTGCTTTTTTGTCCCATACAGAATCTATTTTACTTTAGTGACATGTTTTGAATAATTAATTAAATCCAAAATTTAAGCCTATTATTTAGACAGAATATTCTGTATGCATTGCTTTGTAGAATCTAATACACCTATTCTGCAGATTATATATATTCAGCTATTCTATCCAGGAAACAGTGGACGTGTTGGCTTGTTTTGCACTGTTATTTTTCCTCTCATACAGTAAGAACACTGCGTAGTATTCCCCATTGTAACAAATCCTACATGCAGCAAATTGTGAAGTGCAATGTAGATTAATCAAAATAAGCTATGCTTGAGGGTAGATATGTAAAGCATAGTGCATTGATCTGACTTTATAAGTACAAAAGTGAATGCTAAATGCTTTTACAGATCAGTTTATGAATGCATTATACATAAAATTGGGGTTATGTGAGGTAATATGTAGCCGTCAAGTCACTGTTACTGGAACAAACTATTGCCCATTTCACCTTTGCATGACTATTGCGTCCCACGGTTATTTTCTGCATTTTTCTCAACTGAAAATTCCGTGCTGATACATTGGAAGGTGGCTGTGCATATGTCCTACTTCTGATCACCTGGGTCTGACAAATTTAGCCGGTCTTATCTAAACAGCAGTATAATTCAATGATAACATACACGAGGACCACTTGTTTCTCTGGTAAAGCAGGAAGGAAGATTCTCATTCATATCTTAATCACTATTTTAATTAACACAATTGTATACCTTACAAGTGAGCTTGTCTCTTTTGCTTCACGGTAGGTCAGTTGAACACATCTTCATATTGAAATCCAAAAAACATTTACCAAAACCATTTGAATAATTCACATTGAGGACATTTTACAAATGTTCTGAGGGGAGAATGGGCTTTGGAAAGATATCAGTGGATTGAATAAATAGTGAAAATGATCAGGACTCCAGCATACATTGCTGGTTAAGTAACACAAAGTGGACAGTCCGTTACATTTGTGTAAAGTAAGATTTATCCAAAGCCCCAAACTGGGAAAACTGTGATTAATTGTGCCAAAATTCAACATTAAAACCAACATTATAACTGTAGTTGGGTTTATAATTTGCATTATGCTTTCATGTTTTATACACTGGGCCCAATATGATTTGAAGTTCTCATGGAGAGTTGCCTTGGAAAATCTATTGATTGAAAAATTGATAGACTTTTGGTAGATACACTCAAATGATGTCACACATGAAATGACTCGTAAGATATATCAAATACGATCAATCGGCTTTATATGCTGTTGTTTCCCGTTGGGAATAAGCGGTATAGAACACGGATGGATGGGTGTTTGTTAGCATCACTTTATCTAAATTTGACACGTGACTGAGAAGGGTTGTGTGTGTCAGCAGTGCTATTGAAAAGTGTGAACCATTGGAGTTCCCGTCTGACCACATGAAAGGCACAAGTGCTCTCGCACACGCACACTATATGATAACTGTCCGACAAAAAAACTAGTGAACACAATTTCTGAATATAATCCACATGTAAATTACACACATTTGATAACATTTACCAGTAACACATGCGACACATAAAATGTCCATGATTTCAACATATTGTTACCTCATATTTTACCTTGTACTCAATGGAACTTAAAAAAGCCAATACATTTTGAAGAACTACAGATTTTTCGCACATATATCACCACTGTGGTCCACTGAGCACTTGTAGGTCTGAACACACTGAGAGGTGGCCCCGGAAAAGTGATCTGTATTTACAGCATACAAACAACAACAATACAAAAGGTACCGGTACCACATCTACAACCCCAAAGATACCACAATAGAAACATTTTCAATATGGATATCTGCAGGCTTTGGCTTTTTTTTTTTTCACAGCCTACAGAAATGACAGGAAGTCCGGTCACCAAAACGAGAGGTCTGTGCATAGAGGGCTCCACTCATACACCTGACTAAAGGTTTCATTTGGAAATGCTGAGCTGACTTGTGTCGTCGTCCGTTAGGTTGAACCTGTTGGCGGGTTTGCCGCTGACGTCTTCCTGTTCCGTGACCGGCTCGTTGCTCCCATGCGAGGAGTTCTTCATCACGCTGTAATAAATGGGCATGTGGTACTCGGCCTGCCTGCGTCCACAGCGGCACTTGCAGAGCTTTTTGAATGCGACGCGAAACTTCTGAGACATGAGGTTATAGATGATGGGGTTGATGGCGCTGTTGGTGTAGATGCACATGCGGCAGAAGAGCAGGAACCAGGTGTTGGTATACGGCGGGTCGATGAGGGAGTTGACAACCACCAGTGTCCGGTAGGGCAGCCACAGCAGGGCGAAGAGGATGACCACCACAGCCAGCATCTTGGTTATCTGTCCAGACAGAAAAGCGCACAAATCAGCAAGAAAATAAAATATACAGGCATAGTCCTCATCAGCTAAGTAAAAGCTTTACCAAAATAAAACTGTGCCTCCTTGCCAACGTGTTAATGATAACACTAAATTGACCTTAAGCGGTTCATTTTACAAATGCCATAAACCTGTGAACTAAAGTATTTCAAGGGCCTTCTTTCTCCTGGAGGTACAGATGTGAAAAGGTTCTTTCAACTCATTCTCAGCTTTGACCGTATCCCAGAACAGAGAGTACAGTTTTTGAAGCCAAAATTTAACCCTCGCTCTAAAATTAAGTTAAAGTATTTGATGCCTTAAGGACGAGTTATGACATTTGTTTACTTATTATTTTATTTACACGCTTACCATAAAATTTCACCTAAATTATCTGTGAAAAACATGATTCGGGGTGTTATTGCTTCAATGAAATGGTGATAAATAGTTTCCCTGCTCTTTTTTGTAGATGTTAAAGGGTTTAGACTAATTTGACACATGCACTGTTTAAATTACATCAAATCAAGTCTCTATATACATTTTTCAAAAGTAAAATTCCATTTTGCTTTTGTTCTTATCCACATTTTAAGTTCTAAGTCAACAGCAGTGACGTCCATGCGTTCCATTTTACAGGCCATGTAGCAAATGGGCTGTGCTTATTGATCAAGTTTGCTATTGTTAGCAACACCGGCTGACAAAAATACCCTTTATTGTTCTGTATACTACAAACACTGAGGCATCATGGCAACCCAGTGCTTCACACAGAGATGGGGTTGTACTTTGGGTGAGACAGACAGATACAATGGACAGAAAGTATTTTTTCAAAAATTTAAGAAATTTCCTTGTGAAATATTAAGTTTTTTTTCCAATATGGACTGGATAAATTTTGGGACGTACCATAGATCACTGAGATGGCAACATAAAATTATATTTAGTATATTTTTCAGTTCTAACTATGTGAAATGTTTTTTAATCAAACGCCTGCAAAAAAACATTCTTGTCTTATCCTCAACAATTCATTTGATTAGTGATGATGTATATTAGTCTGAGTGTGATTCAAATTGGCACTTAGGATTTGATAATACATCATTTCCATTTTGTTCTGGTGTGCCAGTCTTTTCCGGTACCTGTTTTCTTGCAGTAACTGCCCCCTTGTTGGTCTTGTTGGTGCTGTTGGAGTGACCCTGATGTACCGATCCTCCTCCTGTTCCGTCGCTCAGGTGTGACGGCAGAGGGCTCATGAACAAAATCCTTGCAATCAGCCCGTACAGGACAGTGGCAACAGCGAGAGGAACCACATAAAACAAAGTGAAGTCCAGGAAGTAGATCGGCATGTAAAGGCTCCTGGAAACTCTGTATCCGCAGTTGACCACCACCCCATTGATATAGACGGTTTCATCGGTGTCCACCAGGAAGAACCACATGGTACAGTAGAGTGAGGTAAAGATCCAGACCCCAGCTATGATCCTCTTGGCCCGAGAAACCGTGCATATGAACTGGGCCTTTATGGAGTGGCAAATAGCAATGTAGCGTTCGATGGTGAACGCTGTGATGGAACAGGATGATACGTTGATGCCGAGGTACTGTAGATAAGTTATACAGAGGCACCCTGTGTAGCCGTACACCCAGAAAGCCACAACGTCGGAGATGTTGGGCAGGCCTGCAGCCAGGAGCACGATAAGATCCGCCACAGCCAAGCTGACCAGGTAGCAGTTGGTGGGGGTGACCATGTGCTTGGTGCGCATCACAACCAGCACCACCATGATGTTCCCCGCAATCCCGACCCCACAAATGAGCAGCGTCAAAAATATCGTTATGACTTGTTCTTCGAGAGGATTCATAGGCATTTCTGTCAGATTCACAACCCGAGCGACGTCCTGGAAAATGGTTGTGTTGTTCTCCATTGTGTCCCAGAGGCTCAGTTTAGTCGGTCTTCATGGGGAAAAAAAAGAGAAGCCTCAAGACAGAAAGTTGAAAAGAGAAAGTTGTCAGAATTTGAATGAAATGTATCAAAACACACTTTCTGTGTTGCTTAACCTCTGCATGAGAATTTATGGCCAAATAGATGCTAGTAGCACATGGAAAATGGAAACCATTACAAAGGTGAAAATATGGAGAAAAAAGAGTCAATGTACTGGTTAATCACAGCATAAACTGTACATTTGTGTTTAGCGATGTGGGGGAGGCTGAGTTGTGCTATATTTGAGAATTTTGTATTCTGTCAGGAGATCAGATCACTCAATGAAGCTTCATAGCCTTGGTGACTAAAAAAACAAACATATAATGGAAAAGAAACTGGGAGAAACCAAAATTATCACTGAATCGTGCGTTATCTCCCAATTATCCCTGAATGGCAATGAAATGTGTTGACTGGTTGGAACCTGCTCTGTTACTCAACTGGTGGTTCTGTTGTCTCAGAGGGTCCATCTTGAGAGGCCGACTATTTGTCCCAGTTATGATCAAGGCGTTTCTCTGAGAGGCCATCTCCATAGACATACCACACTTAAAATGATACAACTGGCTATTTTTGTATTCAGCCAAAAAGCACAACTGCGTCCTTATATTGGAGAAGCAGTGGACATCACAGTGAAAAAAATCTATTCAATAACCTAAAATCTGATTCTATTCTTCTGCCTTGCTCCATAATGTCCTTGACTTTCTCTTGTGCTAATGTAATAATACCCCAAGGCATCCACATAGCTTTGTTATTCATTAATGTAAACATATGATAATATGACTCAGTGTACTAATTTTCATGACAGCCAACTGTATTTGCATTAACAGCAGAATTACCTACATCACAATAGAGACATTATTTAGAATAAATCTGCTTAATTGTGCCAAAAATATGGACATCTGCATTTAATATCCTTCAATATTTTAAATATATATATTTTTAGCACAGCTGACATGACGTTCTTCACAGCTTGTTGGCTGGTGATGGAGAATTTCATTTTTCAAACTGCAGTTTGTCATATTAGATGCAAATAAAAAGTGTATCAAAATGACTTTGAATGGCATTTTAACACTAAAGATTTGCAGTGGGATCTGTGATCAATGAAGCCCTTATTATATCACATGTAGAAATAATGAAAAACATGTTCACAAATGACTTAGGTAAGGAAAATGACCTCCTGACAGAGTAAGTAATTGTGAATGGGCAGCTTACCATAAGTTGAAAGAAGCAGCTCTCACTCTGACATGGCAGCGGCTCCTGAGCGCAACCAACCTAGAAACACCAATGACTACCCGGTCCTCCTCTGGAGTCACTCTGCACGTTCACATCTGTCTCTCTCCCTCCCTGCTTTCCCAGTCCAGCTCTCCCTCTCTCACGCGCCGTTTACCATTACGCACGTATACTGTCTTCATCCCAAAAATCAATTTTGCACATCACTATCCTAACAAACCTGGCAAAAGATGACAAAGGAATCAGCCTTCAATTGTAGTTATGAGCTATTTAAATCAAATCAGCAATTATTATAAAGTACGTCTTCCTTTTGCCACCAGAAGACAAAATCTATGTTGCATCTCTTCTGTGTGTGTCCGTGAGGAACAAAAAGACGTTTTAGGGTTAGAATCCTTGCTGCTCCACGATGCGTGCGTGCTTTGAAAACTGACCAAATCAAAAGTGCTAAACCCTGCATCTGCATGCATTGTGTGTTCCGATATCATTTCTTGCATTTTTAAAAGAGCAGCGTTCAGTCTGCCGGCTGTCAGTTATGAATGCAAAACAGCTTTAAATAACTAATCCAGCAGACCAAACACTGTTCAATAACGGTGAGATAACTGCTGCATGTAAAGATATCTGCCCCGTGTTTCATCAGTTATTCTGCTCTGCTTATTCTTGTGTTTCTGCTGCACCTTTGTATTTTCTTTCCAAACACCTGCAGGTTTTCTTAAATAGATGTCAAGACCTTTGAAATCAGAGTCTGAAATTTGAGTATCAGGAATAAAAATGACAACTTTTCATCCAATGGAGACTACAATACAGTCACAAAATCTCCATGTAGTGGAATTAAACTTGCATGGAAATGTATTTCGGCACATTTCCAGCAACAGCAACAACAAAAAAGAGTTTACAATCGGTTGTACGGCTGTCAAACTGTCACACAGCATTTTATAAAATCAGGTGGCAACTGCGGGATCAACAGGAGCGGTTTATTTTTACACCGACTGCTGACTTTAAAGAGAATCCTGATGTGGTCGAAAAGTTTGGTATAAAAATAGATCATCAAGAAGTATCGGTCTATAATTATTCTGAGCGGAAATCTTGAAATAAACATCCTGTACGAGTGTACAGATATGCAAAAGACCTGCAGAGAAAGAAATATCTTTTATTTATTCTTTTGTACTGATTAAAATAGACCTCTGAATAATTAATGCAGTATTCCGTGTCCATGAAAGCGATTCATTTAATCTATTTGATCAGTCGAAGACAGTACAATAAGTCTAAAATTGCAACATCCAAGCAGTAATGTTTAATTTCTGACAGGAGGAACTGTGTCAGGAGCTCTCTGATTGAATCTGTATGGAATCTACAGAGCAGTAGTGGCATCTGGTGGAGCTGAGGGGTAAAAAGCAAAAAGACATTGGCCAAGGCTATACAGTCAGTGATGAGACAAACAGTTTTCTGTGACTTTTGAGGGATAAAAGGTAGCTGTTACCTGTCAAACAAGCACAGGGGGGTGCAAACTCGGCAAATATTAAAGCACGCATTACAGCATGGGTGTGAATGTGGAAGGTACTGGGTGGTGGTATGCTTGCAGGGGGAGTAGGTGTTGTAAGTGACTCATAAACAGGATGTTCTATCAGCAGTTCACATGTAGACAAAACAGAAGCGCTGCGATGACACAAAGCTGAGGTGACAAATAGCTATGAGGTGCTCGGAGCTAAATGTCAGCACAACATGTTCAGGAGGCTTACTCTGTAAACCATAGTCAAAGAATCTAATGAGTACACCAGATTCCAGTTTTTAATTAGGGCTGAAGGCAAAGTATGAATAAAGCTAATGGGAATATGATTTACTGATGCATGTTTAATTTATTGAATATACATTGTGTTCCAAAAGCTCACACACACTGTGTGATTGAACTAGATAGAGAATGTAGAAGATTTCATACTCAAGTTCCATTTTTTTTCACATTTTGAGATGAAGCTATACCCAGTTCAAACAATCTAGCACAACCTGAGAGAATGACCTGGAAAACAGTGTGTCAAAGGTGTGCCATTTCCCTTACGAACAGAAACATCAGCAGTAACAAGCGCTTCTTTCTTCATTTTATCCCGCTTCTCTTCTATTTTGCTCATGAAGTACGCCGTTCTCTTCTCCTCCTGCTCTCTAAAAAAGGATGCACAGATCTTTCTGCGGAGCCGTCTCGCATAAACCTCAAGGAACACCAGGAAGTAGCTCGTGAGCCAGAGACAGCCCAGCAGGAGCGTGACCCCCATGTTGGGAGCTGAGGTTGGTGCGTTGCAGAGTGATGGCTCGGGGTCGAAGTTCCACTTGTAGTCTTTGTTGAAGTTTGTCAGCTCTTGTGTCTTGCACCACTGCGGGACGATGCAAGAAGCAGGGGGGAACCAGGAGACCTTAAAAAACAGAGAAAATATATGAAAACCAGTGGGAATACTTGCGGTATATAGCTGAGGTGGTGAAACTCTAACCTTGTAACTGACATTTATGCTGGCAGTTGTCGGTGGGAAATCCAGTACCCATGGCAAAATCATCTGAACAAAATAATACACCACATGATCCAGAACTACCATTAAAGCAATGGCAATGAAATACAATGTTACAACAACCATTGATATGACACAAGAGGTACATTCTTGACTTGTGATTTTGCAAACATTGATCTTGATTTTGGTCTGCCTTTTATTCCCTGCATGGGAGTTTTTTTGTCCAAGCTCTTTGTGGAGGGAGCCATTATCAAAATGAACCGAAGTCAGATAGGAGGCTAAGTAACGTGCCGATTCAATGATTAGTAACGCCACGAAAACAGCTGCGAGGATGCGGTTGGACAGCAGTTTGCCCTCACGGAGCAGGTTCCTTGCGTGGGAGAAGTTGCCCGCTATCTCCGCTATCACCGCGGCAAATCTGCCTTTGACCTCGGACACGTCCACATGCGTGTGAAGATTCAAGGTCCTCAAATTGCTGACGATGCTCGCGTCCTCGATCGTCATTTTCATGGCTTCCTCGACCAGGTCTTGCTTGGCCACGTTGAAGGATTCGGACGAGTTTAACAGAGTCCTGGAGAATCCCTCAGCGGTGCACTTTAGGACGTGCGCGGCCGCCCCCACGTTGGTGGTGATGTTGGGGACGACGTTCAGCACCAGAACCACGACGGAGGCCGAGGCTAGGAGCTTGCGTCCCTGTTTGGTGCAGACGGTGGGGAGGATCAGCGTCAGCACACAGCGCAGGGGATGGCACAGGAAGGAGAGCAGGAAGATGGCCACGCCGTAGAAGCCGGACGTCCGGACAGACACTTCGCGGCTATATTCTAAAGTCTCTGACAGCCAGTGATGCAGCAGGCCGCCGGTGATCGTGGAGAATGCGAGACACACACACAGCAGAGCCAGGGCCTCACTGCGTGAGGGAGTGGGTGTGGAGTAAGCATCCCAGATGTAACACAGCAGAGATTTCAGGGCCTGTCCGCAAGAGCCTGCTCTGTCCCTAAAAGAGGAAGTACATGTCAGGAACAGCAAGTCATGTTTGAAAATGGGCCTATTTCCTCTTTCTTCCAGGGATAGATACTGTTCATGTCAATGTCTAAAAGTTTTAATGGTTTTGATATTTATTTTTTGTGGTACTTATCCATTTTTTTTAATTATTATAACTATAATAGATTGTGTTCACCAAGCAGAGGCAGTGGTATTCAATCTCATTAATGCATTGCATAGGCATGTATGGGGGAAGTTCCTATATGCTGCCATTAAGGCAATGCATTTGTAGAAATGCAACGCCATTAGTTTGTACTACACAAGTGGATAAGTAAATAATGTTACATGAGTCAGTGGGTAAGTAAATAAATAATCTCCCTGGTTCTCACTGCGGGAGTTGTCTGGACTTTGGTTTTTAAAGGATTAGTGTAGTCACACCAACAGCAAACTTTCAAAAATACCCCAATTTAAACCAGGAAATGACATTTTCTGCAGCATAAAATTGTGTGACATTTTACGAGCTATGTGCGGTGTTTGGGGCAGATATAGGGCACAAGTTAAAGAAGTAGGCTGGTAATACAACTTTAAAAAAAGGCTCTGGAAGTGTCTAGATTTTCACACAAGATGCAGACAATGATGCAAGATGTTTTTTCTGGCGTTCATGCTTCCCCGTTATGGGAGAGGAGGAAACATGTAGCTGTTTGATAGGGTGTAGGTTCATATTGTCCTCATGGCAGGACAGGAGTTTGCATGCTCATTCGGGAGTTGAACCTCTATGGAAATGAGAATTAAATTCAATGAGTTGTTCACTTTGCATAATGTCTGGCTCTTAATCTGAGCCCGGTTTGTCCCGTTAGGACATGCCTCTGTCATTGGAGCACTGCAACGAACTTGGAAATGTTTTACCATTAGAGCAGAGCACACGGAAGGAGCCCCCGCAACGCTCTTTGAAGAGCAGACCTATCTTGCATCCTGCAACACTTACACGGGGGGGCTCAGAAGCAGAACTGTGAATCCACCACTTCCTATGTGAAAGCCCTTAAAAATAATGTTGTTTTCTTTCAGGCTGGCCTTTCTTATAGTCAGAGAAAACTGAATTTTTCTGTAAACTCTCCTACAAAAACATCAAGAAAACGTTAAAGCAAATCTAACCTAAAAACTCTTGAGTTCCTCCAAGCTGGAAGTAATGTACTGATGGGGCATAATTACTACTATTATAATTAATACTATATGGTTAGAGATCAGGAAAGAAACCACACTACCTTTTCAAAATGCAAAAAAGGAGTATAAGCAAATAAAATGCTTTATAAACCTTTGTTTGAATGTAACGTTATGACATTGACATTGATATAACTCTGTACCACCAAAATTTTCCCTCTCTCTTCTCTGTTTTCCAAAAGAGTAAGCAATAATAATAGCATTTTTCTTCAGCTTATCATTGAGACAAACCAGCAGTTAGTTCACTGCTATATGTGTAACATACACAGAATTTAAATTAAGAAATATATAACAGTAAGTCTGGTTGTATATTTAGTGACAGTGTCAACCAAATGCCATATTTTGAATAAATGTGGCTCATAGTTCAATAAAAAGTTAAATAAAAAATACTATCATTTTTGGTATATTTATTTGAATGATCAAACAAATACAATACGGATATATCATTTCTATGAAAAATGTTGCATCTTACCTGATTAGAAAAACTGCTTTCTTCATGTTGAATTTTGTCTCAGAAATTCTGAGGATGAACTGTGACAATAAAAAGGAGAACTTCGCTGGACAGTCATTGTCATATTGATGTTTGTGGGTTAAGTCCACACATGGAAAACAAATAGAAAGGTCCTGACTCTGTAAACCATGCATGTGACTTTGTCTTTTCTGAGAGGTATGACGCATAGAATAATGTGACAGATGTCACATTACTGCAGTTTCAGTGTAACTCACAATCATGATGAATGTGAAGAAAACTACCACCAGATTAATTAAAGCTTTAATTAATATTCCATGTATATACTGCGCATTTGAGTCCAGGAAGTTAAAACAACCTCTGTCATAGTACAGTAAAACATGGTGCTGACAATTGTAGTAACACACTGTAGATATGGAGACATGGGTAAAAGCAGAAGATAAAGAGAAGATATGATAAGATAAGATAGCATAACAGAAGATGTTTCAGCTCATCCAAAGAACCATTTCAAATGATCTTTGGAGCAGAGGAGGATTGCATGATTTCTGTTTCCGTTTTACACATGGCTTTTTCTTTGCATTACCTCCTCCTTTAAAAGATGTTGCTGCCACCAAAGACAATGTGAGCTAATCTTTTTCACCCATCCATTGTCGTAACCGCTTATTCCCACAAAATCTTTTTCATAAAGTGGTAAACTGCATAAAAATATCAACAAAACATTGGCTTATGACATTTGGAAGTAACCGTAGAATGTTGCCCTTTCCCCAGTGCCAGAACCTTTTTGGAATTGTGCTGTGTGGGTGTCAGCGTAATAATGTGTGTGAAAAAGAGATTTGATCAGATGTGTGTTCATGAACTTTGTATGTTAAAAGTGTTGATTTTATTACTGTGTTGCTTTGTGTTGCTATTATACAAACAGTGCTGTATTAATATAGTTGGATTTGATGACTCACGTGGAGGTTTAAGCTGGATAGACATGTGTACCAAAGTTTGGAACATGTGTCTGTGAAGAACTAGTACTGTAAGTAAAATATTGACAGTGTAATGGGTTTTGACGATGATTGACAAAATAGCTCAATCACTTCTTGAGTCAGATGACGCAAATCCCACACTCATTTCAGTGCTGTCTCATTCTTTGAATTTCACAATGTTAAATCATGCTGACGAAATTACATTTATGGGAAATGAGTGAGTTGTTCCTTTCAGATCTCCCTCTCCACAATTCCTAAGTGTCTCATTGTTCCTGTTGTGATACAATGGAAGTAGTCTCAAGGGTCTACTCCTTCAGGTACCGATACAAAGTACAGACTCTTTGGGCTCTCTTTGGAAACATAAAAAAACTTTGTGAAGTTCACTCGTGACTCTAACATAGTATTTGACATGTGTTACTCTTACAAATAAATAACAAAAGCAGACCTCCTTTTTTCTTGTGTGCCACAAATATACTAGACAGGAATCTTAAAAAATGTGTTACATAGATGTGTAAATAAGTAACTCATGAATATCACGACAAATGAGGCGTTCAGGTAGTTCATGAACTGTCATCTTATGGGAAAATGGCTGCTTGATCCCGATGTATCATTATAAAGATTCATAATACCGAACTTGTGTTATCCAGCATCTCGTGACCCATCTGTTTTAAAAAATATGACCAAATCCTTCACATAAAAACAAAAACATTTGCAAGTTGGTTCGTATTCCTCAGTACGACCCCTGTCCTGTAAATAACTATGTCATAAAACAGGTAAGTAATGCTACTGTTGTTCTTAAAAAACAAATATATTTTCTTAAGCAGGTCAGTTATCTGTTTCTGAACCTGCAAACCCATCCAGAGATGACACCTGACATCTTTTGATTTCACTTCAGTTATAATCAGTCAGAAATTCAGTTTTCACTTCCCTGTTGGATTCAGACAGTATTTTCACTTGCTTAGAGTTCAAAACTACTTGACGTGGTGTGGAAAATGCTCATAGTTGATGTTTAAATACTAAAACCATAAACCAGCCCCTGGGGATATAATTTTTACTCTCTACATGTAGTATCTTACACAGCCACACCAAGCCACTGCAGTGCATATTTTTACAGATTTTAGTTGGAGACTGAGATGTAGAAATGATAGAAAATTCAATTTCAGAATGAAATAGATTTAAATCTTAAAGCTGGAGAGACAAACTAGTCTCTTCACATCTAAATGTATGTGGCTTGAACAAATATGTTAAAATCTTCCAGAGTGAAACAAATGCATCTTAATATCCTACAACAGACCTTAGGGAAAATGCATCGCATTAGAATTGCTAAGAAGACTCATATATTTCAGGAATTAGTGTGGACTTTTTTTCTATTCAAATGCTGTTTCTGTCACAAAGGTAGGGGTGACGAGTCCGGATCCCTGGATTGAACTCTGAAGCCTTTATTCTGTGATCCTCAGCTAACTGAACAACCTCCAAAGTGTTGGACAAGTTAACCATTGCTGTCAGACCTCGTGACTTTGGACGGTTTACAAGACCAAGCAAACACTCTGAGGATTTTAGAACAGCATGCTTCCTGCATGTGTGTGCGTGTGTTTTCATGTTTGCCGCCTTAATTATCTCAAGATGTGTTTTAACCTGTGTTTTGTGCTCTCATAACATGCAATGTAATCATCATGACACAATCCCAATTTATTTGTAACAGAAATGACACAAAGTTTGATTTCTGTATCACATAATGTACATATCAATTAATGAGGATTCATAAATACAATTGAAAAGATTAAGAATATATATTTTTTTGGATTACCAATTTCAACGAAAACATGATTTCTTCCTGACTTAAACCGAAATATGTATTTGAGGTGTTATTCACGGCTGTCTTGTTCTTCCCACACAGGCCCTGTAGCAACAATAAAAACAGAACACTGCACTTTTGACATACAGAATACAGAGCTCAAAGCCATTGCTGAAGAACATAAAGGTTTCTCTGTTCTCGCTTTTATCTTACAGCATCACATCAAACTATCATCTTAAATCATAAACCCTTTGGGACTGAGTTGCGAGAACAGTAGAAGCTTAAAAAAGAAAAGAAGAAGTGTTGGCATCATAAAAAGTAAAAGCTGAAACACTCAGAAAAATCTGGCATTTTAACCCTTAAACTTTTGGCAGTGATTTTTGTCCCTGTTCAGTTTTTAGACTTAAAATAACAGTTGAAAGCATATCTTTTTTATTTCTAAAGAATCATGCTTTGGGAGGTAGCGGAAAAAAAACAACTAGCCTGCTCCTTGTTTGAAAATCCAACCTTTTTAGAAGGAAAACAAATGGCATATCTCATCATATAATTTCCAGGTTTTTAAAAACTTAACTAACATGCAGAAACAATGTGTGAAAACAGATGGATTACCAATGAGATTCACTTTATTTATTGGACATTACCAAATGTGAACACCTTTAATGGAGCAGAGTTTTTGCATGAAATCATGCAAGAAAGCTGAGCCCAGGGTCGGATCATAGACCAGAGAAAAAAAACAGAACTATCTAAGATTCTCATTTTCGGATTGCAACGGTTTTCTCGAAAAAATACAGGAGAAAGCTTCCTCCGTCTAAAAAGAACCTGATTTGACATTGTTTCATGCAAATCACCAGTGTAAAGTATTTGAAAGTCAAATGTGAGGCCATCTATCCAATAGCTTGACTGCTATAACAAACATGATCACAAAAACAGCAGCAAATTTACAAACGAATGAGTAAAAAAAGTTGAGAAAAGGGATGTTACACTGATCCAGGAAAAGCCCTGACCGCACCCTGACTGAAATGTTATGGTGGAATTTTTAATGAGCGGTCTATAAATGAGGTAAAGCTAAATTTAAGAACTGAAGCAACCTTGCAATAAGGAGTGAATCCAAAGTTCTTTTCAACAAGGGAACAGATTGATAATGTCATAAAGGAAAACAATTCATTCAAAAATACTGCTCCCTAAGCTATTTAATAGGGCTTTTTTCAAATACCGATTCTGGATTTTTGGTTATGTATTGATACTGACATGATGAAACCTGTCATGCTATTATGTAATATTAAGTTGACATCCTGATTTGAGACGCATTAGGACTCAAAGAGGGAGAATTTTCTTTTTCACACGACCTCAAGTTTATTGTCAAATAGCGCGATCAAAGCGTAGCATTAAGCGACTGGACAGATGACAAGTGGACGTTGGAAATAGCGGCGGTCGTGTTGAGGGGGTGAGCCCATTCTGGGTAAGTGTTCAGGCTGAACATGGCCACACCCCAGGTGTTCATGGCCAGAGAGACCGAGAGGACGCCCAAGATGTTCATGACGAAGCCGGTTTTCACCTACGAAGAAGGAACACAGAGCATGTGGGTGGCTTGCATTGTTATTAATGTGAACACTGTCAACACTCAGTTAGAGGGTGTTACCATATCTTTGACCATGAGATGTCCCGAAGCAAATGCAATTGAGTTTGGAGGTGTGGACACTGGCAGCATGAAGGCATAAGAGCATCCTACTGTGGCAGGAATCATGAAATACAGAGGGTTCACGGTGACGCGAATAGCCTGGGGAGACAGTTAAACTCTTAGAAATTGCCCTTTAAATAAAGTACAAATTTCAAAAGTTTGCAATCATTGACACTCCACTGAACAGGTAAAATAGAATGCATTAGACTGCATTTGTGTTATAATGGAAAATAGTGAAAGTCCAATGTCCTTCGAGGCTGGGTTTGTCTTTTGTCTTCTGTAAAACGTTTCTAGCTTCCAGCTGTGGGATTCAAGTCTCCAAAAATATTTTACAAAAACACCAGCTAAATAGAACAGAGATAGGATGGCTGTACATTACACAGTATCACTGAAAATATTGTAAATTTTGCATTGTAAAAAATCCAGTTTCAGGCTTCAAGTAACTATTTCTATGTATCTATAAACTATTTTGAAGTAAATCAATGTAAAGTGCTGACGTGGAGATTCAGTCGGGAATGTGGAGAAAAACCCAGCTTGCAACTGTAGGAAAATAGATGAGCATCTAATTTGGTTATAGATTAAAATGGTACACACAATTTTGACATGACAGTAGTTGATAATTACCATGTCTTATTTTCCAATGAGTCGAATTTTTTAAGAATGTATTAAAAAAAAACAATACTATGTGTATTGCTTCTTTATCCTATATTTAGAACAAGAGGGAAGATTGTTTTTTTTACCCTGGTTCTTTAAGGTAAATTTACTGAATCTATACATCCTGTAAACAGTTAGCTGCTAAATGTTTTTCATGAGCAACGAAATCCAAAAATTCAACTAATGATTACCAGTGACAGCAGTTAATGTCCAACAGGGTAAAAACATTAGTACATCTATTGCACGAGTTTAACACACCTTCTAAGCCGCAGAGTAGTAGAGAGGACAAGGTCGACAACTAAGATTTGCTCCCCGGTGGTACCATCATTTTCTGCTGCTTTATCTTAAACAGAGCTGTGGGTCATGTTTCCCTAACTTCTTTATCGCTGGTGTGAAAACAGTCAAGCCTAAAGTCTAACGTAATCCAGTTTATCATAATTCAAGAATAACCTAAAACAATTAAAATGAATATAACTTTTAAATTATTCACGTTGAAGAGGTAAGTTTGCTTAACTCAGGGTCACTGAGCACCTTTAAACTTTTTCATTCAAGGCAACACATTCTGTAGCTGAAGATATTCATGGCTTTGGGATTCTTTAGAATTGAGAATGAGCCTTACCAGTTCAGCAATCACAGGTAAAAATATGATAATTGTGGCAGTGTTGCTGGCAAACTCAGTGAAACAGGCAAGAAAAGCAGTGATCAACATCACAGCTGCTGCCGGGGGGACTTCAGCCAAAGGCTGGAGGTGGCCTCCGATCCAAGAGGCCAGGCCAGACTCCTGCCGAAAGCCAAAAGAGCCAGGTTAAGGGTCACAGATCAGCGCTCAGCGTGATAGACCAGAGTTGAGAATACAACAAAAGAATGCACAAGAGGACTGAGCAAAGCCAGGGGAAGGGAGACACATTTAACTGTATCTGAAGGACAACAAAGACACATTATTAACCAATGAAATGCAGAACTGTTTTGAAATTCAAATGCATTTATGAAATAAAAACCTTTATCAAACTGCTGGTAAAAAAGAATCAATTACATGCGTGTAGCAATGACATGAAATGTAAATCCTCAAATTAGAAACTTAGCACTGTTCTGCTCAAGTCAGCTTAAAACGATGGAAATATTCATGGAAAGGATAAGGATAATTCATTTAATTCATGTATGCCTTTCAAAACACTCAAGGACACAGAACTATGTAATCATGGATTCAAAGAGGAAACAGGCAAAGAATCAAAATACAAAAAAACTAAAAAGTGTGTCTACAGGGGCAGCGTGACAGAGATGAAACACAGTTTGAGTTTGGGCTTAAAAAAGGATGTTGACATTAAATCCCTGATCCCAGATGACAAGGCAGGAAAACATGTACAAATGTGGCATGAATTGCCAACTATATAACAGCATTGGGTAGATTTGGGTAGAAATAAAGTTGCATTTGGTCATGTATCAACAGAGGAAAGTCACGCAAGTGTTCACTCAACCAGAAATCAAAAATAGAAAGAACGTGATGACGGCATAGAAACAGAAAACCAAAAGTGGCAAACTGCTCACACACAGGTGATATCTGTCCCCACATTAAATCGCTTCATGCAGTCTGTTCCTGGGAATCCCTCTTAGTCTCGACACTAATCAACACTAATCTTGTTTACAAGCCACATAGGCCTTTTTCTACATTTGATAAAAGTCTGTGCCGAAACTTGTGAGGAGCTTGAGAGGACCTCAGAGCAACAGATATGCTGCTTTTGCATCAGTTCTATGCATTTTAGAGAGAATTCTCTCAGGGACAGACAGGCCAGGTACAATCCAGGGTGTAGTCCACCTTTGGCCCAATGACAGCTAAGATAGGCTCTGCAAGAGAGCTTTAACAAGAAGGACTTTATTGGATTTAGCCAATTCATGGAAATCAGTGTGGGGAAAATGTCACAAAGACCAACAGCTTTACCTCGCAAGCTTTGGCCATTGCAAAACCGCCTCCAAGCAGCAGAATGATATTCCAGGGAACAGAGTCCTGAGCCTTTTTCCACGAAAGGAGAGGTACATAAGGCGTGTTTGAAGCTGAGAAAGGAAAGATTTAGAATGACAGAATTAGAACATAAAAAAAAGACAAAGTAAACCTGCTCATCTGAACACTGAGGCATTACAAAGATAAATATAATTAGAGGCCAAATTAAAATTTGTACCATAAAGTGATTCTTTTTTAGATTTTTTTTTTTAAACCTATTCTTGATTTTACTCTCTTCTTTTGAAATATTCAACCCATACTGAGAGGGACAGATGATCCCATTATTTGCTATTTTTCTGGTGTCCAGTGGTTTATTTGACCAGCTGAACATAACATACACAATCGCATGCACACGTGCGTCTCAGCCTCAACACTGTTGTGTGTATGCTCACACACACAGTTTTGTTACACGAACTCCATAAAACATAACTTCGAGTTACATTCATTGCCTGGATATTTGGACCTTATACAAATCGCCAAATAATGCTCACCCAACCCTTATACTTTTCAGCATGTTTGCACAGGAATTGCAAAGTTATTTGTTTTCACTCCCTGAAGGAGTCCCCATGGTCTGAGCATGTAAATAAATCTATGTTTCCGCCAATGTAAGTAACACAAAATACACACATAGGATAACAACAACAAAAAAAGGTTGACTACATTGCTCGGAGAGATTATTCTAATCACCAAACAGAGAAAGTACAGTCCCACTTGCAGTCGGAAAATTCACTAAGACGCTGTAATCTACATTATTAACATTCCAAAGCTTACTTTCTTTATTTTGCAATAGCTACTTCAGAGACACACAGTGCATAAATCTTTCACAAGCATGGGGTCATGGACGTTAACTTTTGACTCATCCCGATGGTAAACCACAAAACTGTATCTCACATGCTTGTTCATTTAGTTATAGACTGGTCACTGACCTTCTGGGTCAAACCACCATTTCAGAGAAGGTTTCTGTGAGGGGAAGAAGAACAAGATGGACACAATGATCACACCAGTGACAGCGTCTGAGACGTATCTGCAGGACAAGGAACAGGGGGAGAAAAAATGAACTGAGAAAGAGCACCAAAAGAAAACGCACAAGTGCATGTATGGTGCACATCTCCAGACTTTAAAAGTAACAGAACACTACAGGTTTGTATGTCTTACCCTTTTTTAAAAAACACTGACCAGCCAGTGACAAATTTGGGATCTCTTGTGAACAGGAGAACGGCAAACAAAATAAAAAAGAAAGAGATGGCCCCTTCTGCAAAACTGAAATTGAGCATGCAGTGTAAAATTGAAACAGATGCTCTGTTACAGACATGTATGTTTGCATGAGATTAGAGGACATACACAAATCCTCACTTCATGGGCCCTAGTTTTCTGTAATCGTCCTTTATCAGAGCCTGGGCTCTGGCCTCCGCCTGGGCTCTGTGGTCGTGTTTGGTGAAGCACAACCTGAATAAAAAAAAACAAACACCAAATTTGGTCGTTCTTTATATTTTTTACCTTTAATCCATCAGTTCACCGCTACAATTTACATCGCATTACCTCGTGTTCAACCCTCCATAGAGGAAGGAGATCCATATCCATCCCAAGAACAGGAACAGAAGCATGAGTGGGAAAGCGAAGGCAAACCATGAGCCAAAGTTTATAAGATCACAGTCTGGGAAATAGCTGCAAACGAGAACACGGTTATCGTAAAGCAAAGCTGTCCTCATCAAGCAAAATAGATTTTGTGGTTACAAAAAGTCACCTTTTCAGCTGGCCAATCAGGATGAGGTTGGGCGCAGTACCCGTCAGCGTGGCGGTCCCTCCGATACTAGCTGCATAGGGAATACAGATCAAGAATCCCTTCCACACTTTCATCTGATACTGTGACTCCAATCGGACCTCTTCAGTTGTCCTCATATCAGTCTGCTCCATTGTGTCTGAACTTTTGAAGTTTTAAAACAGACACATCTCACATGACCAGTGAATCGATACAAGGACTCCAAGTCTGACACATAGATGAGGCTACAGCTTTCTGCCTGGTGGCACAGCCTCACATTAACACCAGAAAATATTAATTTTTAAAAGTTACTAGAGGGTTCAGAGAAGGGAACATTGTGTTACTTCATCATAGTTTGTGATTTTCCTTTTATACATATTTTTTTAGTTAATCTTCTAAGAACCTCATGCTTGCATTAGTTGAACGTATTATGCTTGATGTGATGTTGCTGGCAAAAGAGAAAGGGTGACAACTTTTATTTTTCATATATTTCCAGACAAAGTAATTGTCTGGAAATTGGCCAAAGCATAGACTGAGCTCAGCACAAGAATGCTAGAATTTCTTCAAAGAGCTCTACGAAAATGAGCTCTCTGTTCTTCTTACCCATCCATTGACAGAATTAGTTTTTCAGAAGGCTCTGATGGCAGCGAATGCAGCTTTACAGAGGACTGACCTGAAATAATCAAGGCAGAGTTTATGTTAGATTCAAAGGAACTAGAAACATCCACGCATCCATTTTTTTCCATTGCTGGTTGGGTCTCTGGACCCTAGCCCTGCGGTCATTGGGCGAGAGGCGGGGTGTAGCCTGAACAGGTTGGCCGTCCACCACAGGGCCATACAGAGACATATGAGACAGACACCCATGCATACTAACTCCCAGGGTCAGTTTAGAGTCACTGGGAGAGCATACAAACTCCACTCAGAGAAGATCCCAGTCAAAATAAGAAAAGGAACATAAGTTAGTTTATAGTTTTGCACACGGCAAAATACTTCAAATATGGCTTTCAGGTTGAAAAGGAGCTTTAATCAATTACTACTTGAAGACCGAAGTCTCCTGGGACTGTATTGGAGAAGCTTCACAAAGTTCAGGCTTAAGGTTACATATTAAAGACCCATGAAGAAGAGGTTAAAACAACACAGTTGTATCGTTCCTGTAAACATCTTGTGTAAATCTAAACATTAACAAAGGCAAATATATAATTGTAGATTTATAAGAGACAAACTTAACTTAATCTAACTTTGATATTGTCTGACCTCGATTGATTTAAACCTTGAATAGATTTAAGTAATGTTGGGATTCATTACGAGTTACTTTTCTTTTCATACAGGATATGTCCAATAGCCACCTTTCTTTTTTCACCAACTCTTCCAGGAAATGTTAAGCCCTTTCACAGACAAATGTTCTACTACATTTACAAGCTAGTTACTAATTATGTCTGTTGTTTGCTCCTGTGGCTTAATCCCCCCCCCCCTGCCAGCTATGAAAGCTGTAAAAATGAACAGAAAGGCCAAACAGTGAATGAAAACTGTCAATATTTCCAGGCAAAGCATTCAGTTTTCACTCATAAATACAGGTACATCTCAAAACTGAAATGAAAATGATGCCACACAACCTACTGTGTATTGCAGCACTGTCTTGACTCTCTGGAGATTTGCACTTCTGCTTTAAAGTCTCCAGGTCACCGAACAAGCTCTCCAGAATGGCGTTGGCGATAGGGAGCATCATGGCTGTTGTGGCAGTGTTGCTGAGCCACATGGACAGGAAGGATGAGGTCAGCATCATTCCCAAGATGAGCCTGTGAAAGCAGTTCAATTAACCGTCTAAAATCAATAAACACTAATCACCACCCTGCCTGCAGCACTAATCTACGAGGCTGTTAAGATGGATTCACTGAAGATTCCGGTTCATTTGCAGAAGTTTTGGACCCCATTCTTTTCCAGCCTGCGGTTTCAAAAAAAGGTGGCGTTTTGTGGCAATACCCTACTCACATACCAGCAAATCGTGCATTTTTCTGTTTCTGACATTTGTCTTACTCACAATAATGTCAATATATCAACTTTCCATTCAAAAATGTTCTTACCAGGCTGGTTTTACTCCAACAATGCTCAAGACTTTAAGTGCTATCCTGCGATGCAGGCCCCATTCCTCTATAGAGGATGCCATCACAAGACCACTGAGAAAGAGAAAGTTGGTTTCGATAAAGTACTGAGGACACACTTTCTTGGCTGGAAGAATTCCCAGTGTTGGGAATAGGCAGACCGGAAGCATTGCTGTGACCGCCAGAGGCAGAGCCTCCGTACACCAAAATGTAGCCATCAGCACCACCACGTAGAGGCATTTTCCTTCCTAAAAGGGGAGAAGCATACGGTTATTGGTGTCCTGCTGACCTGAATAAAAAGAACAATAATTTCACGAGAAATTGCAGAGTTGGACGTTTGTGGCTGAAAGAAATACACCCACATCTACATCTGTATGCAGATGCAGATGTGGGTGAGCTAGCATTATATAATGATAAGTAATTAAAAGCTTAAGCATGAATAAACTTTCATAAAATATCTAGCTCTCAGGTTTGGGAATTTGGTATGTTTGAGTCTTCGGCCTTAAGTTATTTTAAGAATATCCATATCACTATTCATTAGGCAATGTTGTTTTGGGAGTTTGGAATAGCGAAAGAAGCCTTATCTTAAAGATAACCGATTTGATTAAATGAAGTGATAGGATTATATGCAAATGAGAAAGTGGGGGAATAGAATGTTTTGCACTTTGGTTCGTAGTTTTCCTTAAAAGTCAAGCTACGATCAAATATTAGACCTTAGAATGAGTTCTACTTGAAAAATCTTGCAAATAAATCTTATTATAATCCAATGAACATATTGAAATGCATTATTCTCGCATATACATAGCTAATGAGACAGGTATGTTTTGCCTCAGTGAGGTAGATTAACGTGGTTCCTGGAAGCTAATGGAATTAGAAAGATTAACAACAAACAACTCACCTTTTCTGGTAGAGTAAAAAGTAAAGGCAGAAAGAGGAGTGGAGCGAACAGGAGGAGTAGCTGCTTGTGGACGCACCACAGCTTCTTGGACACAACAGATATTTTCATCCCCTGAGTAAAAGTTTTGCTCCGTTCGGGGAAAGAGAAATCCAGAGTGGCCGAGAGAAGCCAGTGAGGGAGCACTTTGAAGCCGTTGACTGTGCACAGAGAATATTAACCACGAGTTAACTCCTCCTGTAGTGGTGTTGGACCACTTTCAGTCAACTTTCAGTCGGGTTTCCAAAAAAGCAGGAATTTCCCATATAGCTCAAAAGGATTCATGTATAAACAGTAGTGTTTGAGGATTAATGGAAAAATAATAATACTTTATGGATGATTTAGCTAAGTACAAATAAAAAGAAACATAATAACCTACAGTGCAGGTTTTATTGTGGTCCTAAATTACGGCAAAACTTTCATCACTTCTCGACGCATGATCTTCAAGGGATAATGTACAATCCTTGCAAACTACTGGATGTCTTTAGCAGGAGCCTGTCAGTCATTGGCTGGAGAAAAGCAGACCAACGTGGATTCTGTTCATATTCTGCAATTGTTTATTCTCTCTCTCTCTGACTGGAAAAGAGAGAGTGTATCCCATACAAACAGTCCAGGATTGATACATCTTACCATACAGTTTGCAAATCTGAGTTTGCATGTAGATACTCTGTTGTAGATGTCATTCACACACGTTAACGAAATTTGGAGTCACTCGTGAAGACAGAAAATGTTAGAACTTGTGGAATGTCTTTTTTTGCCACAGATTTTCTCACAAAGATTTTGCCACAGATTTTCTCTGAATTCACAAACAATAGAAAATCTGCATATGTGAGGATTTATATCAAATGGACATTTCTATTCAAGTGGACAGGCTATTTCATATACAAATAGCCACAGATTTTCTCTACTATCAAAGAAAAGTTTACCACCTTTTTATTTCTTAGTGTAGATGTTAAAATGTTTCTCCTATACAAATATCTAAAACATGTGAAGCTTTAAAACTCCCCCAAAGTAGGTTTAATGTTTAGACAGCACAACTCACGTTTCAAATATGGTTTCTGCACATATGAGGCTAATGATTTCTAAAGTTCTGTCGGTGGAGTTTAAGATTATTCCCTCACGAGGTGTTCTCGACTGGGATAAAGAAAGGAACACAGACAAGTAAAAAATGTTTGCAACAGCTTGCGGTAACCTGACAGTCTTTGACACTGGGCATGAATGATGATGAATGATGGTTTTGTTTGAAGTCTTTATTTGGCCCTTTAAAGGTACACGGTGTAGAAATTGTTTTATGAGGAAAAGTCAGATCATTGCAGAGATAATTTTACACCAAATGAGGACACATTTATAAATGAATGAGATACAATGACTCAAACACAATTTCCTATTAAATGTGAAAATGGTTTAAACCAACAAATCTGTGGTACTACAGTTGCATATATGCAGAATAATTTAAGTTCACTTCATTATTGATCTAATTTAGATTATATGTGGGTAGAGTCACCATGTGTTGCCGCAACCTTCAAAGGAAAAAATTGTCATTTTGGCCATCTTGCACATTAAGAAGTTCGGTTAAATCAGGTCACACCAAATCTTTGGTTCTTGTTTTAGGTCTCCACAAAGTGCATTCATAAACACCAAGATAGGTTTTCCTGTTATATGGTTTAATTTGTTGACCAATGGCTCAGATTTGGAAGCTGACGTTTCAACACTGCCTCATGCTGGCCTTGCTGACCAGCTGGGGCATAATGTGCAGAAATGCTCCCATTCAAAACCCGAGGCACAACATGCTGTACTGACACGAATCTGCTCTCTGGGTCTGCACAGAGCAGCAGCCTACAGTTAAGACATTTAATGAGGAATAGCCTCAAGTAGTGGATACAAAAAAAGTCACGAAGAGAACTTGAAACAGTGGAGGCTGGTAATATTCTGCATAGCAAGGACATGACAGAGTTAATTCAAAATCTGAAATCCCTACTACAAGTTGATGTTACATGTTGAGCATAACTGTATTGCGTTAACTTAAGATAAAGATAAAGATAAAGACTGAACTTAAGATAAAGCAACAATGCGTTGCTGTAAAGATGATTAATGGAAGTGCAGAATGAGCGTGATTCGCCCAGACAAGATTACAAAATAATCTTAGTGTTTTATTAGAAAATAAAAAGCTGACAATGGCCAAAGCCTCTGCCTGACAGTGTTGATGTCATGCGAACAGTCAGGTGTGATAACATAACAGGATTATGCCATCAGGATAAAAAGCAGAGGGGTTCACTGTGCAACAGAAACAGTGGTGAAGGCAGAGGTGAGTACTGGGATAGAGACAAGGTGCAGATAGAAGATTTTAGAATGCAGTTTAATATAAACAACAACAGTCATGTTAGAAAATGTGTAGAAAATAAATGAATTGATATGGACATATATATGTATATTCATGCAGATACACTCATTATAAATGGAAACATTTTGAAAGCACTAAATAAAGAATCAGTCGGGAATACAACGAGCCAGATATCTGAGAATAGAACCGCGTGTGATATGATCTTGACAGATGTAATAAACCCACTTCCCTAATGTTGTTTAAACAGTAGCCGCTACAATATGATGTACAACTATACTTGTGATTTTCAAATGGCCTGCGGGATCACAACGAGAGATGCTGTCACTGTTTATGTTAAATACTTTTGACACTCTCTTGCAGTCTAAGATAATTGTTGGAACGTATCCTTTCTTTTTGAAGAGAATTCAATGTCACATCATTTTTTAATATATTTAAATGCAAATTTTGATTTAATATAGTAAGCCTCACATTACATTATGAACTGGGGCTGTTGCAGGGCCCTCTGGAGGCCACACCATCTGTTGACGGACTGTTTGGTTCATATGGCTGAAGGTAGGTCCCACACGGCTCCATATGGCTGTATATTCGTGCAAGTACTTAAACGTACTTTTTTCTTTCTTTTTCATTTTTTAGTATTATTTTTCAAATGTGTGTCAAATTGATTTACCCTTATGACTTCTTTTATTTAAATTGTGTACAAGAAATGCCTCATGTGAAAAATGAGTTGGAGTAGTAGTAATCTGACTAACATCGAAGGATCAAAGTTCAGACAATTTTCAAATAAATGATGATGAACGACACAAACTAGTGGCTGAGTGTTTAAATCTCATTTTATTTCTTTCATTTTATTTTTTTCAGAGGCAGTTTTTTAGATCAATGATTTTGACGGAATCCAAATCACCACATTGGTTAGCACCATGGCCTAACAGCAAGAAGGTTATAGGTTCTGGTCCCCGGGGGAACCCCGGACCTTTCTGTGTGGAGTCTGCATGTTTTCCCTGTGTCTGTGGGGGTTCTCTCCGGGTTCTCCGGCTTCCTCCCACCGTCCAAAAACATGCATGTTGGGTTGATTGGACATTGCAAATTTCCCTTTGGAGTGAGTGTGAGTGTGTGGTGTTGGTGTTGGCTGTGGATTTGCCAGTAGATGGTGGTCTGTCCACATTTTCTGCTCAGATGCCTCCAGCTACAGGCACGAGACCTCCTGTTTGATCTCTAATCCATATTTATAGAGAGGGCATTGTTCAAAATGTAGTACATTTCCTGTGCCAGACTCTTTAAAGCAGGTGGAGCAGATCTCAGGGGCAAACGTGTAGGTTTTTACTGCCTCTGCAGGATTTCTCCACAGCTGTGAAAGTCAGTGCAGACTGGATGTGCCTGGGCTACGCTGTTCCTCCTCTCCCTGAACAGATTTGAAGCTCAGCTCGATAAAATAAAAACTTTGCAATGCACTGTTGCCTGTTTGATTGAAAACAGTTTCATTTTCTGATGCAGTTCAGTAATGTGCCACGGTCAACTGTAACTCTTGTTTCTTGTATCCCATTTTTTTTCACTGTTTCTGTTTTTATTGTGAAAAGATTTTTTAATGTTTCGTACCCAAAATATGCCTTATCTTAAGCAACTGGAACCAAAAAATGTTGTTGGTAAGCAAACCACAAATTCACTCCTACCAAGAAAACATAAACTTGTCATTCATGAATTGAAAAGAAATCTTAAAGCCCCAGTGAACGTGGTTGGATAGTAAATGGTAACATAAATACTTAAATATTTAAAAAATATTGCGTTTTATATATTGAGAGTGGAGTGGTTTTCTCTGTTCATTTTCAGAAACAAAACATCCTGTCATCAGTTCCTGTTGACCTCTTAACATGCTAATGGAAGCCAAAAGGTGGTTTTTGCTTTACACGCCAACATATGCTCTCAAACTAGCTCCTCTTATTTTCCTCGCTATTCATGTATTATTACATGAAAAGTCATTGAAACATGTGAACCAAAGATACAAATGACTGAAAACTTATGCATGTATTTTCACTGAAGTCTCACACCAGGTATCACCCCTCTGGTCACTGCACCCGTTCTTCTGCTGTCTTCAGAACATGATGTGAATGACCTGAATCAACACAAATGAAACAGAAAGAAGCTGTTCAGATGAACAAAACAGTCTAGGATTAAACCCAATTTGAATGAAAGAATAACAGCTCGCCACGTGGGAGGGGAAATTATGCCTCAAAGCGAGAGCAAGAGCACTCACACGTTTCCTACTGACAAAAATCAATAGACCGAAAAAACTGCCATTGAATTAGATTTTTTTTCCTTTGACAGAGGAAATTGGTTATAACTGACTCATAAATTGTTTACATCTTGTGCATTTTGAAAAAATTCAGAGCTCATTACTGTTTGTTGCGTCAAACTCTTGTTGATGTCTAATTTAGATGTAAGCTATCAGAATCAAATCAGGTGATTATAGCAAAAATGTATTAATGTATGTATTAAAATGTATTAATTAAGGACGATATAACATTTCTTGGAAACACTTTGCTAATGATAACCTGCACTTGATTATAATCATATGGATAAAAAGTACATAAAAAGATCAAAAGAAAACAGGATCTTCTGTTAAACCTTTTTCTTAATTTCACTGTTACTACACCTCAGCCCCCCTGTTGAGCTCTAGCTCTTTGAGTTTTAAACATAAAGAACCCTAATTCTACATTTTATCATTGACCGGAAACCTGAATGCATCAACAGTGAAAAAAGCAATTCCATTTTAAAAAAAGAGAGAAGAGATAAAGAAATGTGCATGAATAACGCTATTGTTTCTCTGTCACTTTGATTTATTCTATTTCTCTTTTTTGATACGTCCCATCCAGGAAACATTAATCAGTTGCTTTTACAGTTAATCCTGTTATACTGGCAACATTTTAAGCGCTAACAGGCTATCAGGCTACACGATGGCAGGTTTACCACGAACAAAAGCTGGTTTTCAAAGCAAGATAAAGATCTTTCATAAACCCTGAAACCAGTCTTCATCGACAAATAATCACTTGCTTATGACAAAAGTGTGGCTTTTTTAAATATGTGGACTTGCTTTTGCTTGCTGTGCCTGAAATTTAAAATAGTAAAGGGAACAAATACATTATGTGTTTAAATCTTTTAAAATTCTTGATCCAATTCATCTCAGTTGTCCATAAACCATTTACGATATAAGAATATAGATATATCAACTTGATTTGTTTGTTTGGCATTTGCCCTCAGATACTTCAAAAAGGGCATATCAAAAAAGTATTTATATTCATACAGGCTTGATGAGCAAATAATAGGAATAAAATTCATGCAGACATGATTGTCTAGAGTCTACAAGTGAGTTTTTTTCTTAGGTTGAATGAAAAAGTTGAGGTTGAAAGTAGGAGGGAGGTGCATCACACACTCAACAGAAAATTACAGCAGACGAGAAATTTAAAAAAAAATTAGAAAAAAGAAACAGTTGAGGAGAAAAATGGGGAACTAATGGGGAGAAAAAGGAGGCAGAAAGAACATCAAACCAGAGAGTAGTCTTGTGATCAATTAAACAATGGGGAGTTTGACATTGTGGGGAAAAAAACAAAAGTGGTATTGTGGTAGAGGAAAATCCCAGGTGAAGGAAAAAGTGACTGAAATGTGTCATATCTCCTTCATCAATGTTTCCCCTATGCTTCATTCTATATTTACCCGGATGCTGATCAAAGAAAGGATGATTTTGGCTACAGCCACAACCACATAGCCCATCACGGTCCGCATTACTGGCAGGTCCTCAACTTGACCGGGTTGTAACTGGTTGGATCGTGTGGTCAGTGTGTCTGCGGCCACTGTCGGCTCAGTCCGGTTGACACACTCTGTATTTAGACAAAATAAGGCATAAAGAAAAATCTGATCTAAGAGACCTCACAAAAACTGATCAAGCAGTGACAGTTGTTATTATTTAAAGTGTGCTTGGCAAACTATTTCACTGACAAAATAGAAATGGTCAAGTAAGACATTTTTCCGTTAGTAGGTCTTACTTTTGTTTTACTGAAATTCTGGAAGGTTTGAAGGGAGAATGTGTGTGTGTCAAAGTACAAAAGGGAATACAGCTCATGCAAGATTCATCCTAAACTGGGCTTTCTTCTTTCTGGTGTGGTTTTATTTGTCACTGTTTGCAGAGGGTAAACTGAACAGGAATCTCTCAGGGTAAAGCATTGTTTGCGTATTTCACTATAATATGACTACACATATAAGTATGCAGCTATAAAAATTGTACTATCATTAACGTTTCCAATATTATGGATTGGACATATACAATGTTCATCCTCATATTTGGCTTCTCTAAAACATTTAGTCACTCGGGCGTGCTACATTTTGACAAAGGCAATGGGTATTGAATCAAAGCTCACCGTGTACTATGAGGAGGACCCTTCCTTTCTTGTTCTGACCGCCTACATTAGCATTGATGGTGCACTCATAGGTACCAGCATCTCCAGGCTTGATGTGGGGAAGGAACAGACTATGATTCTCTCCAAAACTGGCGGGCCGAGGGAAGTCGTACATGTCCGGAGATGTTTTATCTGCCCGTTTCCTGATAATGCCGTGATTGCGGTCATTGTCGATCTGTTAAAGTAAAGACAAAGTGCACCATGGACAGTATGTCTCCCAATAAGATGACATTATGTACAATATGTAAACTTAAAAACAGCAGCACTTCTGTCTGAGTCACTGACCTTGTACCATGCCAGTGAGAGGAAGTCCACATGCTCTCCGTTGACAGGTGGACATTTAAGAGAAATACTTTGTCCACATTCTGCTGTGAATTCTTGTTGACTTTGCGTTGAGTAACTCAACAGAAAAAACTAAGGGAACAAAAACCACAGATTTTTAGAGAAAAGTTATTTTATGGGTTTAAAAAAATGTTCAACAGAATAAAGATGAAATGTCCTTAGCTTACATTTGAATAAATATTTGATAGCACGGTAAATCAACTCACACCGATGAGCAGCACCCTCTGGGACATGTTCTACATCTGGCACACGGCTTCGCTGTAATAATCCTTTTTACTCTTTACCAGAAACTGAAACAATTTCCTGGTAAAGAGGAACATCTGCAGCCCTTACAAGAAGGATGAGTCGTTATGGAGAAAATATGCCATCAAGTGGCACCTGATAACAATGCAGCTTGACTTTGATTTTTTTCTTAGTTAAGACAGTGCTAGGGATAAGTTCAGTTTTTATTTTATTTTTTATAATAGCTGCTTAAAGAGTGAATCAGAGACGTTTCTTTATTATTATTTTTTTACATTTTAAATCTACTTTTATCATTGCAGAGTCACACTCATCACATGGAAATGGTTACATCTGAATACGCCTGGTTTTTTGTGGTTTTGTCATGTCTTCATCTTGTGATTTCCTGTTTTATTTTGAAAAGTACACTCTCGTTTCAGGTCACTTGCACTTCCCTGTGTGTTACCTGTCTGTTTGTCTCCCTTAATCACTGATTGTGTTCACCTGGGATTCCCTTCCCTTCATGTCTTTAAATAGTCCGGGCCCCCCCGTGTCTGGTGCCAGTGTATTTGAACTTTGAGCTTGTCGTTGAAATTCGTTGTCTTGATTCTCCATGTATTCCTCAAAAGAGCAATCATCATTTAGTATTTTCATAATCTTTTTGCCCTCGATAGAGTATTATTTTGTACTTTCGTAGCTTTTCCTGTCCTCGTATGATTGATTATTACTTTGTACTATCTTTGTTTTGTTCTTCCTTGTTTGAGAGATTATTATTTCATCACCTTGCGATTCCACTTCCAGAGAGTGTGACCCTTTGTTTAATAAAGACCTCGTATATGCCAAACTCTGCATCTGAGTCCTGCCTTGAGCCCATCCTGCCGTCCTGACAACATCATCCTCTGAGCCTGCCCTCATTCCCTAAACATTCGTCCCAGAGGGGGGGTGGGGACTGTGTGTGGCAACGGCGAGGTTTGGTATGCATGAAATTAGTTTTGACCTCCTGTGGCTTCAAGTATGGACTATGCATGAGAAAAACGTATTCAGGGTGCTTTAGGGGGGAGTAAAAGGAGTGAGGAGTTGTTTCTGTTTTACTTTCATCTAGTATTGTCTTTTAATCCCATAATTAACACCATTTTACACTTGATCTGTTCACAAGAAAAGTCAAAAGTCAACCATCTAAGAAGAACAATCCAAAGGCAGGTGATGTTACATGTCATTGTCCAAAGGGAAGAGAGAGAGAGCATCTTATGGTTGCTGCTCCGCTCCATATGAGATGAGCTCAGGTGCGGAGAACATGAGATTCGATAGCTGTAAAAATAATTTTTCTTAGACGGTAGAGTTTCAACTGCCAAACACTCGACCTCAAATAAAAAAACAGCAGTGTGAAATGTGGACGAAACAAAATGCAAATGTGCGAATCCTTTAAAACAATTTTTTCGTTCCCAAAAATACGCGGAACATGCATCAAATGAAAAAGCTGATGGACATGAATATTTCATGGAAGGCATTGGCGTCTGCAAGCTGGTGTGATGGTGATCACTGTTCCCTCACAGCGAGAGGGTTCCTGGTTCAAAGCCTGGTTGGGGCCTTTCTCTGTTGGGGTTTCCTTGATCTTCCCGTCTATGCGTGGGTTCCCTCCAGGCCCTCCAGCTTATCTCACCATCTACAAACACGGATCCCGAAGAAATGCATGGAGAATGAATCGGTGGAAGCAGAGCATTAGGTTTTTTCTTAAAATTGATGGCAGCAACACATCCAAAAATAGTAAGCGGGGACAAAAGGCTGGAAAGGAAAGTGCTACTGAGGGAGCATACTGTAACCAATCAGGTGGTAACATAGCAGTTCCATGACCGGAAATAGTAAAAGCACCTCAGAGAAGCAGAACCTCTCAGTTATAGAGAGTGCAAAAATTGGTGAACAATTCCAGAAAATTCATAAAATCCAACCCATGAATCTGATTCTGTTCTCCCCTGCAAGTTCAGATAAAACCGACAGCAAACAAATCTGGAAGGGGTTTGTCACAACTGTGAGTTTTATACAGGTTTTAGATCAACTTATTGTTTTGTGCATATAACGTTTGAGGCAGAAATAGAACAGCATTCTTCTCGTAAAGGTCCAAAATCTTGTTCCCTACGTTCTTAATAAGAGGGCATTAAATATATTAAACACAGCATGTCACAACAGTTGAATTCAAAATTACTGAGTATTTTCTTTAAAATGTCCCACTTTCAACACAGGTTGCTTATGAGATGTTCAAACTAATACATTCTTTTTTTTTACTGACATTATTCATTCATTTTCATTGGAAATTGGATTTCATTTGTCCATTCTTCCATTCACAAAGTGAAAGAAATCTTTACAAACGAGAGAACATATCTCTTTGGATTGCCCTCTCTTTCCCCTTAAATGCCAAAAAGTAGTAAACTTAAAATAATGAATAATAATAACAATAGATAAGAGTGTCAGGTCTCTTTCAAAGACCGTCCTGCATGCAGAGGCCTCAGTCTTACACATATACACACACACACACACAAACACACACTCTCTCTTATGTGTCTGGCTCATCCTGTTGTTTTCATGGCAGGGAACTCACCATTGTCTCCCCTCGAGCATATTATTTGTATGTGTCGCTCTTGTTGACAAAAGAGGTCGATATATAGTTATTAATAGCAGGGTGACTTTATGGAAAAGGGAAGAGTGAGGTCTGTGGATTCCCCCCATCTTGCATTAAACAATACCTCATTCAGCGGCAGCTGGCACTGAGGGAGAAGACGTATAGGAATTTACTGATTTGACAACACAACATTAGTGGAAATGAAGATTTTTTTATTTTTTTTTCCCCGCTTGTTTTTTTTGGACTCTTCCCACTGCAGCTGTGAGCAGTTTTAGATCTTTGACCGGGAGTAGTCTCCACATTACGGCAGAGCGAGACATAAATATCAAATGTTGATGCATGATACTTTGCATTCTTGACATTTTCTCTCAGTTGCAGATGTGCTGATAATTCAGCGCCGAATTTGGGAAAACATCGTAATCAAGCACAGGGGGAGTTTTAAAGTTCATGCAAATGACACGTCTCAAGGAAGTCGGCGGGGGTCACAGAGGTTGACGGCACAAACTGTACGGTTTTGTGAGACTCGTTCAAGTTGGGATCCTCTGTAGGTTTCTATGTTAATGCGGCGGAGAGCACGTGTGATGTGCGCATTTGTATGTGTTTGATTCCACCTCTCCGGGCCGTGGTTAAAGGGTGTTGCACGTCCCAGAGGTTGTTAGCGCGCCCAGCAGTGAGCGCAGGCCTCCATGTTTCTGTCAGCGAGGCTGTTCACTGCACACTCTGTCACCTCTGATTGAGGAAATCCTCCGACTGTTTGCTCTGTTTGCTGAAATGAAACATCCCAATGGTTCCGCCGTCTCTCCCTCAGGTCCTGTACGCACAGACTTTCCCATGAAAAGCATACATGTTTACAAGGGCTTGACAGATATATGGCTCTTTGACAGGCCCTAACAGTGCCAATATTTCTAAGAGAGAATGATACGATACTCAGAGATAATTATACTATGTCTATGTATACTATATTTATTCTTGAATTTAAGTAGTTAATAATAACCTTTTTTTAATCTCTTGGAATGGTTAAAAGATTATAATTACAACAAAAAGGATAGAGGGATTTTCCAGATATCAGAAATCAAGAAATGAACTCAACTTTCAAGAATGTAAATGCAATATCATTACTTTGTTACAGTCAATTATGTTATCTTATAACTTAGTGACATAGCTCTATTAATTCATGTTTGTGTTGTGTATTCTAAGCAGCTATCAAGCTAAACAAAGCACTCAGTTAAAGAAAATAATACTCTCATCATCTTTTTTTACAGAACAATCACTCAAATTTAACATTATTCTTTATCAGATAAACTGTAAATCTAGCAGATTAGAAGAGAAATGGACTCTTATTAAGGTGAAGTTGACAACAATTGGCTTGTTAGTTAGCGAATGTAAGTCAGAGACACAGCAAAGCCATTTGTAAGCTTCTTTGGATTTGCAGTTTTTAAACTCTCTCAGTGAGCGCTTGTAATGCAGCTGGGTCAGTAATCCAGCCCGGAATGAGAAACAGTGTCATATTTTCTTTAACAGCCCAATTAATTTTTTTTTTGGTGAGGTTAAGTTTCTTTCTCCATTTGTGTCTCAATCTCCACCCATCCCAAACAGGATACAGCTCTTTTTCTAGTATGCAAGGAGGGGTAAAAAAAGACCTGTTCATACATTTGTCTTTGTTTATCAGTTTTTAGTTCAAAGGGTATCTCCATTTTCAATTACACAGTCTGACTTGACTAAAAGAAAAGCAACATGGCAGGAACTAAACAGGACAAGAAACACCCGAGATGAGGGTTCTGCAAAAAAAGGCAGAGACAGAGTATGAATAATAAAATTCAAGTTTAGTCAATATTGAGGACAGTTTGTAGTATGTAGTAGGTAAAAAAAGAGCAGATTGAGGAAATGAAAAAAGAATTTAAGATTAACCTACAATAGCAAACATGAAAATAAGAACAAAGCAGTGCTAAAACAGAACTAAATTTTTTTTTTAAAAACACAAACCATGACATCATAACAAGTAACAGCTGATGATGATGGTTTTTATGAGCCATGCTGTTATTTTGCAACATTTAACGCGATGGCCCAATGACTATGACTTGTTTGTGCCAAATTTTCCCCCCTATTCCTGTTCCGGTTGCCAACCAGTTGGAGCAAATCTCAATGTGGAGGGGAAGGATAAGACAGAAAGAGTCCACCTTCCTCCTCCAAGCCCCAAGTGTGTTTCAGCAAACTCTCAGCGGTCGTTTCAAGGATATTCTGCACTGAACCAAAGCCACCAGCAGAGTGATTCTACCCTTTTTTCTGAGCCATTCTGAGGCTGTGATGACAGGATGACTGTGTTCAAGCTGCACACGGCAGATCAAATCAAAAGGACATGCAAACAAAGTCAAAATAGAGCGCTTATGGCAAAATAATATTTGATTAATGCGTTTATAGCCTGTTTCTGTTTCTCGAGTGTGGGCAAAACATGGTTTGCAATCCTCTTTCTTTTCACACGTACGTCAAATAATCATCACAATAAACATTTAAAAATAATCACATCAATATACATCTACACATAATATTTCTTTCCCCACTCAAACTGCCTTTTTTTCCCCTTTCCTCTTGGAAAGGGTAATGTCTTTGTTTTGTAAAGCTGGTTACGGCTGGAAATGATTTCAGTGATTCTCGTCTTTGTGAGCAATCTGAAGCCGCAGAGCCTCAGAACACGGCCTTTTCAGCTGTTTATTTAAGGAAGCAAAAAAAAACCCTTTATGATTAGTGTGCGTTGCTGGATTCTCACCTCTGCCTCTGGGCTTTGGCATGCTGCTAACTGCTGGGGGTTGATTGGCCGAGCCTGCAACAGAATACAGCGGTGTTACGAGGATCTGTATTGTTCCCTTAATTTCTTCTCTGGGATTTCCTCTAACCAGCTCCCCCCCACCCATCCATTCTATTCACTCTGTGGCCCTCAATCATCCTCCCTCTGTCTGAAGGGCTTGCCAAACTCTCTGGCACATGAAAACAATGGTTCTTGCATGTCTGAGGAGACACGGACAGCTTTTCTCCCCCACAGAAGCTCAGCTGACCATCAGGCAGACAGACTTCCTCCCTCCTTCGTGTGGAAAAGTGGTCGGGTCCAGTGAAATAGGAAGGGAGGCGTCGGAGCCCGAAGCCACGGAGTGACACAGAACCATTAATATCTTTGACATGCAGGTGGAGTGAGAGGCCATCTCCCCAGCCGAACCAGCGTTTGAAACAAACACGCTGACTCGGGGAGCAGAAGCCATTAAAACATCACCATGTGCAGGTCGGCCTAACAAGACTTCTCCGACAAAGCTACAAAAATGCCGAAGAGAAGCACCCATCTGGGAATCAGGATTCCGTTCCCAGATGATGCTAAAAAAACTCTTCACATCCTTCCTGTTTCGGGTTCAACTAGCTTAACTTTTTCCCTGTTGGCGAGACGAGAGCAGGAACACTTTCGGCCGCTGAGGCTCTGGTGTGGGTTTCGTCTGTAAAGGTGTCTTCCAGCTGCCCTGTTACTCACCGGGATTCATTAAATCGTGCCTCCTAGATTAAATATAACTTCCTTTCCCTTCAAAAGTTATTAACTTTTTTTCAGATAGCGTTTTTTATTTTCATCTTTTACATGAACAGCTCCCCAAAGATTCAATATGCTGCAAAGCAGACATGATAAAGACTCAAAAGATTTGGAGGTGCCCTAAAAGATGTTAAAGAAAACAGTTTTAGAGACTTTAAGACGCCTTGGAAACAGGACAATTTGATGAAAAGTTTAGCTGAATTTGAGGGGCAACAAAGACAGGGAAAGCTTTATGAAGAATAAAAAGTAAAAAAGTTGTAATAAGTGGCAACGTGAGCTTTTGGCTCTTACATCTTTAAGAAAATAAGAATGGAGTGATATAATAGGATTTAATCATTTAACTAAATGCCAAAACAACGATAAAATCTAATTTAAAAAAAGAAAAAACCACAAAAAAAAAGGAAAGACTTTACAAACAATAAAAACTGTGAATGAGCAACAGCGCTTTCTGTACACTCAGTCTTCTGGCAGCTTTGCAGCAGAAAGGATTCCGTCTTGGAAACCGCTGCGTGAGTGAAATACGTTTAAACAACACTATCCCCGAGCACAGGTTTATGGCCGCATCCATCAGCGGTTATAAATGAGGATGTTCGCAATTCATTCAAAGAAAAGAAATCTTAAAGCGTGAGCATGCAAAGCTGTCCTGATGCTTTTGGAAAAACAAGTCATATCTGTCCAAAAAAGCTGGATGCTGGCGTTTCCCATGCTGTCCCGAGAGCTCATCTCAAAATATCAGCACCTGATGGAACGCATGTGTACATAAATACGACAGGCGCATTGCCATCTCCAGTCCTTTTCTCTATTTTTTTTTTTTTTACAGGGATTTTGTCTGGTCGATGACATGCTTTATTATTTACTGCCTTACCAGCTTTAGCCAGACAATCATCAATCAGCAAGTATGGTGCACGCCTGATCTGTCAGCCGCTGACAACATTCCAAGCATTATGCGATTATACAGCAATGGGAGTCATGAAACACCGAGAGGCTAAAAATGGGAAAACATTTCAGTGTTCTGTTCAGCGTCAGAGCAGTAAATGCAGCGGAGGAAACATTTTCCCCAAAATGTTTCTGTTTCAGGACAGAGTTTAAAAAAAACAGCATATCTGTTGTATTTTCATTTAATGTCAGATAAGAAAGTTACACTAACACATGAAAACTTATGATTGGTGTATTTGCACAGTGCACTAAAGCTCTGTTTGCTTTAACCTGAAACAATGTAGAATTTTGATCAAAAATGTAATCAAAATTGAATTTTAGGTGAAAAGGATTTTCTCCTTTTTGTTTTTGCAAAAGTTCCTTATTGGGACAAATGCAGTCTGCCGGAGAAAGCCTTACAGAGAAAGGTCATTAAAAAGAGGAGCTATTTAGTTTCTATCCTTTACAAACAACAGCAATAAAAAGGAAAGTTGCTCCAACCGTTTGGGATATTTTTCATCTCATGTCACTCTACTGGAAGAGGAGGAACTAAGCTGCGGTTGAGCTTCATTTAATCTCTTCCTGCAAAGATTCTCTGCTGGGATTTAGAGAGAGGAGTATCAGAGGAAGAAGAAAAACTCACCAAAGTGAGAAGGTGAACCTTTGCGGTGGTCCCCAGATGGATCCCTGGACCCTGGCCTGACGGACATGTTAAACAGATCCATGATCATACCCGCTGCTTCCTCTGACCCGTCCCTCCTCATAGTCTCCGCCATCAATTTCTTACCTGTCAACTTTAGGGGGGGGTAGGAAATCAGATTTTGTTCATGACTCAACGTTGGGTCCGCTTGCTTTGAGAAGTACCACCAGAGAGCTGTACATCTGGGTCCCAGCGCCGGATGATGTCAAGACTGGCGATGACCCAAAGCCCACCGCACAGAGAGTTCCTCAGAGAGGTCGGGCTGAGCCTTATTTTCCCTTCCTCTGCCTACGTGACATCTTCCTGTCCGTGGAAGCCTCGGGGAGCCATTTGAGGGAGGCCCCGGTCCCGCAAAACTTGGGAGGACAAAATCCGACTTCTCCTGACCGGGCAAGGTGGGGGAGGGCGGCCGAGAGGGGGCTCGGACCCCCAGCATGCCCCTTTAACTGCCTCAGAATTATCTTTCCATACAGTCACCCGGGAGCCCTCCTCTGTCATAATGAGGACTAGGTTTGCAGTCTTCAGCAAAGCGATGCCAGACAGGAACTCTGGCCCGGCTGTCTGCGGCCTACCTGATAGAGCACTCACTGGACTGACTCCCGACATGGGAACTAAACTACTAACAAGAAAAAAGACAAAAAAGACACGTTTATGTTTGCATCATTTGCCGTCATTACGTTTCACTCCGCTGCAGCGCTCTGCCGTGACCTCCGACCTCTCACCCCCATCTCTCCCTGTCCACCGGGTCCACGGCAGTGATTTATTCCTCTGACACACCAACAGCTGTGTCGGGGCTCAGAACAGAGTGTGGGCTTCTATTTGCCGTGACTAATCGAAAACAGACTTCAAAAAACAGCAATGCTGAGGACTTGGGGGGGAAAAAAAAAAAGCAGACAGTGACACCAGAAACTCTGAACCTTTTTGCTATAGCTCCATGTGCTTTCCAAACAACATTCTGGCAACAAGTGGTGGAAATTGTGAAAGCGTGTGCGTACGTGTTTGTGTGTGTTTGGGTGTAATGCGCAGTTCATTTAATTCAGCCAAAATGATGACTACAATCTATATGGGTAAAGCAGCTTTAGATAGTATGTTCCTGAGCAAAGTAATAATAATTTGGTATAGAGGAAACCGTAATGGTTTCCTCTATATTTACCATTTACACTAAATTAGAAAAAAAAATTGACCAAACCTTGAAAACAAAAGAAGAAGAGCGCTTCTTTTTTTAATCCGTGGATCAAAAATGATAAGATGGTGGCCCTCATTTTGATAAAATAGATTTTATTAAAAAATTCTGCCAGATAGAACGATTAGAAAAAAAAAAATCCCAAGTTCCAAACAAATGCACTGCATCTTCTAAAGTCTTATGCTTAAATTTTTTTAGTCAAGTATAAATAGTCTCTTTGGTTGCATCATTTGATCCAGCATGTGTACAAGTACATGAGTGCGCGCTCTGTAAAAAAAAAAAAAAAAGAAAAAAGAAAAGAAAAAGAAAAAAAAACCCAGCTTCGACTCTTCCCTGAGAAAGTCTTTGAGGATTTTCAGGTTTCTAATCATCCACTGGTCTTCAGTCAGCGCCTCATTCGCAGTGGACCCAGCCCTCGCATTTTCAAACAGTCTTTTCCATCCTTAATCTGAAAGGGGAAAAAAAAAAAAAGATTCAGTCATTTGAGGATTCAAGAAAAATGTTTCATTTATCTGCCCCAGATTTCAGAGTCACAATCCAACTTCAGAAACAATGTGTTACTACATAACCAACACTTTTTTTTTTTTTTTTTTAAAAATTAACAATTTGGGGGGGGGGGGGGGGGTGTTGTCTGTCTCACTATGTGAAGGTGGTCAGTAAAACACAGCCATCTGTTTGAGGAATTTAAAGCAAGCTCTAAACGTGTGTAGAGTGTAAAAGTGACTGCACACTCAAAGATGGACTAGATAATTAAATAAATAGGAATCAAATAGGAATAAGGCCGAAACAATATCAGTTATAATAAGAATAAAAAAGTAAACATATCATATTTCGATATGCGTTGATAGTTCACGAGTCCGTGTCGTTTTTTAGTTGTATCTTTGTCTTTTTTTCAATTAGAAACAATCCATTTACCCCTTTCCTCTGGTTGCTGAGGCAGAAGGTGCAGATGGTGCGCGGCTGCTTCCCTCCGCTCTCCCCCTGCGCGTGCACCGCGCCGAGGCACGGCTGTCCGTCCGCGCCCGCGTCTCCGGTCAGCAGCACGTTGGCCAGGTGGGAGATGTAGCTGGACGCCAGGCGCAGCGTCTCGATCTTGGACAGCTTCCTGTCCACGGGCTCGGTGGGGATGAGGGTGCGCAGGGCGGTGAAGGCGGTGTTGACGCTCTGGGTCCGGCCCCGCTCCCTGGCGTTGGCCGCGCTCCGCTGCTTCATGACCACGGCCGTGTCCCCCTCCAGGGCGCGCGCCGCCGTGCGCCGCCGCTTGTGTCCGGAGCCGCAGAAGCTCTGCTCCGAGCCGCCGTCGCTCTCGCTGCGGTTCTCCTCGTCCTCCGACGTGACGCCGAAGTCCGAGTAGAGCAAGTGCGTGGCCACGGGCCGCAGCATGGCAAAAGTCATGATGGAAAGAGTTACCACCCCCCCCCCCCCCCAGGCGCACAGACGCGCAGTTAGTCCGAGAGCAGAAACCCGGAGGCTGTTCCTACGGCTCCATGTGGCGCAAGGCCAGCGACGCGCGACCACTTGCGGGGAAAGGAGGTTTTTACTAAAGCCGGCGGACTTTTCATAAGTCAGCTTGAGTCGGCCCAGTTCAGGATGGCCGGACTCCCCGGCCAGCTGCGCTCTTATAGCGGGATGGGAGGAGCTGCAAACTTACAGTAGCCTCCAAAGTCAGTAGCCTCCATTAACTGCACGCAGAAGAACTGTTTGGAAAATAGTTATTCTACAGAGGTTGTGGCTTTTACAATTAGTTTTGCAGTTAGTTTTGCGGTTAGTTAGTTAGTTTAGTTCGTTAAAGTAGATGCCATTATTTCCAAGAACCTATTGACCCTGCCTTATTAGTTAATTAGAAAGGTTGTAAGTTGAACTTGGTAAAGCTTGCTTTTGAATTTAAGAAGGAGTTGCATGCATTTAGTGTGCTGCACATTAAGTAATTAATCTTTAGAGAGTTGATGCTTGCCAAAGTGGGGATGATTTACTTGTACATACATTAAATAACATAAGCTTGCATATTAATCTTTGTGACTGATATGGGAATGCTGAATAGAAGTGAAGACTAAAAATAGTCAGGAGGTTGCAAGTTTGAATAGATCCAATAAAAATAGAAAAAACCTACAAAATTTAATGATTAATTTTATGGCCGCACTTCTGAATGTTTAGAGTCTCTAAAAAGGCAGTTTGGGACTAAAGTTTGCTTTCCACTCATTTTACAGTCCCTATCTCGTCCTGGCCTGACATGTTTATGGCGCTGCCACCCGCTGAGATCTGCTTTTGTTGGCTGGTAAACCAAAAAATGTAAGAAGTCCTCTTATCCAAATATTCCCCCTCGGGGACATACAGCCACTCCGTATTTAACTACTATCAGCATGCGCAAAAACGGCCGGGGAATATCTAGTTAGAGCATACGACGTCCCCCCGTTTGGAAAGCTGCTTCTGCCCCATCACGGGGATCACAGCTCAGACAGCAGGAGAAAGTTAAGTGTGGGTAAATAAACAATGAACAGATGATCCTGGAATGACAAGGATTTATTTGCTCTTTGCCCCGGGTTCAAAAAAACAAAGTGGCGGCAAATGGGTGGTTCAAGCCCTCCAAGCCACATCAGTGGACCCGGGCTATAGCAGCACATTCGGCCACTTCAATGGTGCCTCAGCTGCATCAACAGTCGCACATCAGACACCTAAAAGCTGCCAGCCAGGAGAGCGCGGGGGTCTTTGAAAGGCCACGCTGCAAACACAGAGCTCCACAAGAGCAAGAAGCTGCCTGGATGGCTCAAGATCTGATCCCCACAGGTTGGGCTTCAACTAAATGAACGGATGAGCGTTGAAAGCTACAGGTTTTAAAGTTTTGTTATATCTGAGAATCCTGTCAAAAAAAAAAAAACTATGAGGAAATTGTACAAATCTTCTCAACCACGAGCCAGCCAATCAGGCAGGAGGTCTGTGCTGCCGTATGTTTCATTGCATTTATCTTCGGCTCCAGCTGGGAATATGTCAGGTGTTTAAATGTCTGACTGTGGAACCAGCAGGAGCTCTAAGCAGCAGCCAAAACCGGCATGTTGACGACGCATCAAACACACCAGAAATATTTTTATTTTATTATTAGATTTTTCTCAGAGAGCCGTGAAATGCTCCTTTGTTCTTCCGGAAAATGTGGACCCCTTTTTTTTTTTTCAGTCCCGGTGAGGCGAAAGCGTGTTGGTTTTGCCACCTGCTGAGTTCACGTCGCTTTGCTTCACAGGGCTCCGAGTACAGCAGCTCTGTCTGAGCCACAGGGAGGAAGGCAGTGTCTACTCTGTCTACTCTGCCTCATGCAGGCCTTTCAATTCACTCAATTTATGCAAAGATCCTCAGAAGATGGTAGATCCTGTCAGTACTCACTGTGCTGCGACATAGTAGAGATTTTGGCTTAAAATGAAAAGTCGTAACTATTGCTGGACAACAGCAGCAGCAGCTTTCATGTGAGGTTCCTTTGGGTTCACTGAAACAAACATTAATATCTGGAATTGAAGCCACAAGTACAGTTCTTTCATGAGGGCTGGCTGTTTGAAAGACAAGCGCGTCCATAAGATGCTCTAGAAGTTTGTCTTTTAGTCTCTTACGAGTGTTTTGTCTCTTGACCCAATACATGTACTCTCTACTTGGAGAACTTTGAGTCAACTACTTCAATTAGTCTACTTAAAATGATCTAATTTTGGAAGTCTTTTCTTCCAAACACCAGAAGAATAAGAGTCATGATGTCCTACTGTGTCTATTCTAAATAAGACTAGCTGGCTATGTGTGCCACAGATGGGAACATTAACCTTTCTAACCTAACCGAAGTGGGTGGAGAGAGTAGTTTTTTTTTTTTTTTTTTGGTTCCTGTTGCACAAATGTTTGGAGGGCCACACTCTAGAACAGATCCAAGTACAGCAGGACCACTGACATATCACTATGACACAGTCCCTGTTTACAGTTTGAGTTCGGGTCTCACTCTTATCTGGCGTGGGGAAAACGATCACCCGATTCAAAATGTCTCCCCTGTGCCTCTCAACCAGCCTCAAAACATAAACTAAACCCAAGGATTACAGCGTTACCTTTGACTTTTATTCCAAAAAACAAACAAGGATTTAATCCAAAATGGTGCGTGTATCCACAGATATCTATCCCTCTGTGACACAGAGCTCCATTGTTGTCCAAAGGCTATTAAAAACACATCAGTCAGCTCTCCACCGTTGCGCTGTTTGACATCTTCCTTTATTACAATCAGGGTCGTCTCTGTAGTTTATTTGGGAATGACCCCCCACTCACTGTGCTAAATACAAACTGTAACTGTAAGTACTACAACTGGGGAAAAAACACACAAAAAAAAAAGCTGCTGCAGAGAATACAGAGAAACACACCGTTTGTTTAGTTTAAGTCAAACTTTTCCACTAGCTGCGCAATATTTCAATTTGAAACTACCTCATCCACCACTTGAATGTTGTGTAAATTATACCTAAAAAATAATAAAGCCAATGTAAAGCATAGTAATGAGAATTTGGAATCACCTTTACATTTATAAAGGTAAGAGGTTACATTTAAACATTTTAGGTTTTATTCAATAAGGTTACATTTCTAAAAAGGTTTTTAAAAAACGCAGAAGTATCAAATCTTATGAGTCTAGAGTTAACGGATATGAGCAGAGCTTAACACGCTGTTTCATGTGGCTGATCAACAGGAGACAGGAGAGCTGTCAGCTACCACAGCAGTGAGGATGATGCATGTCCGCCAAGAAAGAGATTCCACTCAGAATGAGCCATAAAATGTTGGTTATTTCATATCAGGCGTGTTTATGTCTTGGAGCAAGTACAAACAGAATAGGTGGGGCGTCAAAGTAAAGCCAGCAGACTGATCAGAAACAGGAGGATACATTTGTGCAGAAAGCTGTAAGAATTCGGCTGTAGGAAATTGGGTATAACTCCAGACATGAATCTTCATTAACGCTAAGATAGAGGAGAACAAGGTCAAAGGAGAGCTGAGGAGGAGCAGTCACGGACTGACGACTGGATGAAATGGATAATCAGTCTGTACTGGTCAGGGGGATGATGCTTGAGCTTTAGTTTAAGGCAAATCTCACGATGACTGCCGCAATATAACAAGCAAATTTCCTCAATTTTACTATACATGGATGTCCGCCATGTAATTCTAAACATGGGATCCCTGCAGTAGTTAGGGAGACGATGACAACGAGAGTCCAGATCTCAATCCCATTGCAAATTTGACAACTGAAAAAAAGACTTTCTTTCCAGAAAGCTGAGTGATCTGTCAGTATCAACATTGTTTTGCGGTGAAGTAGATGTCCCAGAGTACAGGAATTTATTTAAGCTAAAAGCTGCAGACGGTGAAGAAAATACGCCACAAACATGGTCCATGAGCAGTGATCCTCAGCTATTTGCCTGGCGTTCCTGTTCCTATCTTATTTCAAGAATAAGGCATCAGCACAAGTTCTCTAAGTGGAGTTTTGGTGGGTGGAGCAACGCAGCTGTTTGGAACAAGTGTGAGGCTAAGGATCAGTTTCACTAGTAATTCATTTTCTGCGAGAGGAACTGGAACCACGAAGGCTTCGGCTTTGCATTAGAAAAAAAAACATCTAGTTTGCTCTGTTAATGTAGAAGAGGTAGAAAAGTTACATTTATTGTCTTCAAATTTAAGAAATAACCTTTTTTATTTATATTTTTTTGTTAGAAACCCAAATTGGATCTTGTTCGACACGTTTTAGATTCTTTAAGGAGAAATCCCAACCCATTGTAGCAGAAACATGCAGCTCAGATCCTTAAGGTGGCATCATTCAAACCTTTAGGTTGGGGTCTCTTCTTCCTTTAGCCTGCATAGAGCAAAGGTAACAGCAATTATAGAGAATCCATACCTGCTTGTTCTTGTTTTTTTTTTAATGAAAACTCTGCTTGGCTCAGTGTGAATCTCCTATATAAACACGACACTGGGACTACAGCACAAGCCTGAACAAAATGAGCTAAATATTGTTTTTACTCAACAACAGAAGAGCACATAGAGAGGAAGGTTCACGCACAATGCCTCTCTACAGTGAGGTCAGAGGGTGGATACGGAATAGCAAATCTGGCACAAATTACACGCCTGCAGCCACCAGTAGTCTGAGGGAATTCCGGATAGGAAGCTGTGAGAAATCCTCATCGACTCGAACAACTAAGGCTAAACTCCTTCAAGAGGATTTGACTGGAACGGCTCCCCAAGTGGAACTAATGGGTGAGCTGGCTAACCAGAGATCATTTTTCAGCGTGCATTTTCCATGTAGACAAACTCTGCTGGAGATTAATGATCGAGCCTTCCACTTAATCACGTCGGGGAGCGAGATAAGCTTCGAAGTGAATTTCATGTAAGCTGTAAACACAGACCGAAACAAGTTTTCAGGTTCAGATTTTAAACGGCATGCGGATTTTTTTCTGAAAAAAATGCTGCTTTCTCTATATGGGGTTGAGGAATCACAAAAAAATGGCACAGCCAGCAAGAAGTGGGGTGCCAAAAAAACTGTGATGATGAATAATGTTGCTGCTGACGTCTGGGGTGAGACTTGAGACTTGTACAGAGAAAATTCTCATTTGTTATTTACTACCGGCTAAGAAACAATACACATAAAAAGAATGTGACACAAATGATGCGCGAGATTCAGATGACCTCAGAGTCAACTCTCACGTTCCACTGCTATTCCAAAATCACTGAACAGGGCCTGCCTCCGTTTTTAAGTCCAGTATTTTGGATTACAACAATCAGCTAACTATGTTTCCTGCAGAGAATTAGCATGCATGAATGAACAGAACATTTAGAATACACTGAAAACACAGGCAATCGTGTATTTTGTGCACCTGAAAAGAAGCCAGTTTCAAAGTCAGGCTTTCTTTTTATGTTCTGTTATCAGTCAGTATCCAACTGACTTAATTTTAAGCTATTTCTATTTTGAGATATCTTTATTCTTTGTTATTTTCTACATTGCTGCTTAAACGTGACAGACAATCAGCCTCTAAGATTCTAATCTGTCCTTTAGAGCGTTTGCATGTACATCTCCAGCTGTTGGAGGCAGAAAAAGGAGGAAACCCTTTGCAAGCAAAGATTGGGAAACCTTGTTTTCAGAATAAACAGGAACTTGTAAAACCTACAAGAAAGCCACTGCCAGGTAATGTCTCTGACCCTTAATTAAAGAGAAAAAAATAGTATGGATTTAAAAAAATCAGGCCTGAACTGAAAAAAACAAAAACAAAAAACAAAAAACAAAAACTTCCTGCCCTTTTGACCCCCTTGATCACTTTAAATCCTCAAAGATAAAGCATGCAAACCACCCATGGAAACTGCTCCTAGAGGCAACAGGTGCAATGCATTTTTTCATACAAGTATTGCGTGTCAAAACTCCTTTGAGGATATGGTTACTTCCAGACAGTGAGTGAGCCACAGGAAATCTTCTCACACGCGACGATTCAGAGGAGAAATTTAGAGTCCTTTAGGGCCGGTCGGTAAAAGTTGCTCCGGGTCGCCCTTCATTTCCTCAATGGCCACAAAGGGAGATCGCCAAGCAGCTCGGAGCTCGCATTGTGAGGGCCCTGATGTCGGAAGGGCCTCGTCTATATTTTACCTATATTATTCTGTAAAACTGCAGTTCCTTCCTCTAAGACAGAGGCAAGGGAACTGCTGTCTGAAATGATTTAGTAAGCCCAGGCCAGTCTCAAGGACAGAAACAACAACAAACAAGACATTAGGGGTGTAAAACCTGGATTTTTCGTGCTATTTAAAGTACAAAGCAAGCTTTTTCTGTCGTTAAATGAAAGTGAGAACAGGAGGCAACGTATGAATAATTTTATTTGACATTAATTTATTTCACGATAAGCAATGTCATCTATTTTACAGGATTTTTAGGCAAAATGACCAGTATGCTTTAAAAGTCCTCTTTTTCTGGAACCCTGCAAAGCACAAGAATGGAAGAAATGATGACAAGCAGAATGGAGTGATCCTGCGCCACTCAGTAACATCTTGCATCTTGTCAGCCCGATTTGCTCAGAACACCCGACTCATTCAACTAACCATCTGGTCTATACGGTCCTTTGCCGTCTGGAACATCCCATCAAAGTTGACTTGGCGTGAACTAAGTGAGATGGTATCTGAAAAACTGAGCTCTCTATTTAGATTTTAAATACTAGATAAATATACAAAAATTGATTATTTGGGCCATTACAGGAAATCCCGATAAATGTATCCCTCCTAGTATTCTGCTACTGGTAAATAAGCCTAAAAGAAACTGATATTTGAAACACAGACAGAGATATCTTTGTTTTTTCATATGATGAATCTAAGACAGCTTTAAGAAATATTACATGAATCTTTGACAATATATATAGGAAAAAACACAGAATGGACAGTATTTTTGTGTGTCGAAGGAGGAAAAACAGATGCACAGATAGGGGAAAATGACAGTTGGATTGCATTTATCTGCCCTGGTTTAATGATGCCACTTGCAAGCTAACCCACCATCCCGTCACACATTGACTTGTAGATAAAGGAATCATTGATGATTTAAAAAAAATAATTTTCTTGACGTTTTTGTAATACAGGCATTTAATTTTAAATATATATATATATATTATATATTTCTTTGTCATATTTGTACATGTAAAAAAAAATCTCTTTATTTATCCTGTTAATACAACATAGAATTTCAGAAGACAAAAAGAATCGTTTCACTCCCTTTGGAGATGAGAGGTTTTAAAAAAAAGGCCTAGATCTGAATGATAACATTTCTAAGCATTTGTTAAAAAAAATGTTTTTAATAAATTAAATAAAATTAAAAAACGGATTCAGGCAATTTCACATGACAGAAATCCAGCAGCCAGAGCTTCACTTCCCCCTGTTGGTAACAACTCTGCTCTGCAGTCGCAGGCTGAATCAGACAGTAGTGTTGTGTTGTGTTGTGATGTTTGAGAGCCAAGAAAACCCTAAAATGGTCACCAGCATCAACGCAAATCAGGCGTTGATGCTCCCAAGTAGGTTCTGAGGTCCGAAACGCTGGATCTGATGATCTTGGCTGGAATGAGCGGCATGTTCAACCTCTGATATGCTGCAAACCTGTGACAGCCTCCAAAGGAGTAGTAGTAGTTCCCCCCCTCTCTGCCTCTGATCCACAGCACATCAATGGGAGGGACAACAGTGCTGTCACTTGTATGCTGAAGGAGGGAAAAAAAAGCTGTCAGGTAAAGCCAGAAATAGATTAAATGCACACGGTTTGCAAGTTCTTAACAATCCTTTCTTAGGATGAAAGTAACTAAAATATTCAATTCAATATAAAGGATGCACAGAAGTCTAGTTATTGGGGGTAAATTATTGTTTGAGAATAGCAATGTGTCATATTTTATCAATTGTGGCTACTAACTTTGGTTTAAAAACCAAAACAAGGTGATGCATTGTGGGGATGTTTACAGGCTAATTTGGATGTTTTCACAGCCACCGTTTCCTCATAAACTGCCTTGCTTTCATCCATTTGACACAGGTCAGTGTTACCTTAATAGTGTCCATCAGACTTCTGACTTTCTGCTCGTCCAGCTCCGGAGGAAACGGTCTGATGACAACCTGTAGTGGGATGTTGTGAACCTCTCCAATGGAGTCTGAATGGATCGACCCGCTGTGTCCACCCTCCGCCGCACTATTCTGCGAGGACATTTGGATGTTCCGCATCGATAAAAACCCTTGCTTCAGGGGTATTTTATTTCCCTGTCGCAAACAAAACATTTATCCACCTCCAGTTGTGCCTGACAGCTCGGTTGCTACTGTACTTCCTGAACTTTTTTTGGGCTAGGTTGTACGCGTCCGCTTACTTAAGGATTGGTTTGGTCAGGCTGACTGTCAATCACAGATAGGCCGTGCCCCCTTCAATGTCCGTCGGAATTGTTTCAAAGGGCTGTTGAGTTGGCTCCGGAGTAAGTAAAATAATGAACTGTTTTTATGAGAATGGAAGCATTTATCAACCCCTGTCACATTAAGAATAAGGCATCGATGAGCATATATGGAAAAGGAAAGAAACTTTCTACCATATTAGAGTTTAGGTGCACACATTTTGTTACAGTGTTCTCAAACAATTGGTTCAAAATGGAGGCCCAGCCAAAAATTACATCTACATTCATGAAGTTTTGCTACTATTCAGTCCAACTCATTTGTCTGTCCGCTTGATGAGTGAAGTCTGGTTTAACTCTATCCTATGTTATAGGGTCTGTCATAGCATGCATTTAAAGATAATAGTTGTTCATACTGAAATGGAGTGTACTCATCAGAGTTTTTTTGTTGTTTTGAACAACTTGCTAGTGGAAGAGAGATTATATTAAATATTGAATTACGAGGCAAAACATATAATCTGTTGAGCTAATGAGTATCTAAGAGTGGTGGCAGGAACTCTTCTGGCTCAGTTTGAGAACTGATATGATCCTGTGATACTTTTTTTTGCATGCCTAATTTAACCAAATTTACAATTTACAAATGGCATATATGGACAAACAGATCTGTTGTTGTTTGCTTCAAAACATAATTGCACACACAGGAGAAAACATGCCCGACGTTAATTTTTTCTTTTTACGGTCGGCGTAGCACAATTGACAGAACCATTTCAGATGAAACGGACTGGAGTGAAAGCAGACACGCTTCCAACAGGACTATCATGCTGACGTGCAATTCCACCTTGCCGATAAATCCTTGTTAAGTTTGCTTTACGCACCGTTAAAGCCAAACATAGGGGTTGACATGTCTACCTCTTCACATGTAATTGGGTTGTTGAGCATTTCATGACCATGTACTTATAGTAAGAGACACACATTGAGCACATTTCATGGGCATACCGCTCCTCATTAAAATTCACTCCAGCAATTAGTCATGCAGTTAAAAAAAGGAAGAAATAAGCCCAGAACCCTTCGGTGGCAATACTTTCTAACGAGGTCACTGCTTTGTTCTGTCGACTGTTGCGCGATTTAGGCTTCTTCCTTCAAAGCCGGCTACTTGGTGCTATTCTATTTTTGCAGGGATTTCAAAGCCGGCAGCTCGGATGCTGCGGTGACAAAAGGGACGTCTGGGCCCGGGCGCTGCACAGGTAAACGGAGAGCTTCAAAGATCTGCGGCATTTGAGCCGACGCAGAACAATTGTTGTTTTCTCCAGCCCACAGCCACGGCATCTCTTTAATGACACAATTAAAAACGATTTCTTGGACAGCAGAGGCAGGCCATTATTTTTGAATTATTACAAATTCTTTGAACTGCGATGGCAGCGGCTTTTATGTTGATTAATTGGTCACACGGGGATCAGTTACAATGTGGAGGAGGTCTATATATAGCGCCTAATCATTAACTGTGATATCAGGATATTATATACCTTGTTTGAATAAAGCAGTACAGAATTTATATTGTTACTCGGACGACGGTAAACGCAATAAACTTTTTGTCTTCTCAGGGAAAGAAACAGTCTGTTTACCCTCCAAATGACTGCTTACACTAGGCTGCATGACTGTGTTCTCTGTATGAAAAACCACAGCATAGTATAGGACTACAAGGACATGTCCCCCCTGGGCTTTTTCTAATGTATGGCATAGTCAAAGGCACTGCTTTGCTGTCTTTCAAAAGCCACTTCATCAAGCGCCAACCCAAACCATCATCACACCACGAGAAGAGACCCTGTCACTCAAAGCATATAGGCATGCAAATCCTCCCCCAGCACCCAGGTGTGTTCGGAGTCTCACTCCACTCTACGTGACCCTCCGCTGTCGCAGCAGGACTTTATTCTGGTTGCTAACATATCTCAATTACTCAGATTGAGTTAGTCATACGGGTCCCGCGGCGGGTCATGGAAGAACAGTTCCCACATAATGATTCGCTGTTAATATTAGATTTCGGTCCCCGTGGGATTGTCACATTTAGAGCAGCTGGAGAAAATTACCTGCCAGCTTTTTCGACAGGGAAGTGAGCTATATTTATTTATGCCTTCTCTCTCTTTCTCTCTCTCTTTCTTCTTCTTCTTCTTTCTCCTCGCACATTGACACGCTTTTAAAGTGACAATTGTCCCGATGCCGATTTCCTGTCTTCAGACTGTAGCTGTGGTGATGGATGAGGTGTGTGAAATCATAACATGATTTAGCGACAGTGGATGGGGCTCTGTGACTGATTTGCTCTGTGATGTTGATAATTCACTGATGGCTCTGGCCGCTCAAATCTATGAAATTATTCTCTGTGCAATCTCCCTCTCCCGAAGCCGCCCAGAATAAAATTTTAGTGAAATTATTTTTGCTCGAGTTTAAATAAATTTGCTCTCTGTATGTAATGCAAAAGGGAGGAGGGCTTGTTGCAAGTTGTGTTTTGGGGCAAGGTCATTTAGTCACCTAACCATTAAACGTACACCAAGCATAATAACTTTTTTTCCTTCTCTCCGACAGTTCAATCTTAATTATTATCAACAAAGTGACTCATAATGATTTTGTCATTTCAGAAAATTAAATGTTAGAGTAGCGATAATGGTTTCCATTACCTGTCAAGCAGTTGTCTTTTTTTGACTGCTTGCGGCGATGAATTATGACCAAAATGGTCATGGAAAATACCACGGAATCAACAGAAAAATAAGTGAATTATAACGTGTATGATAAAGTAAACCAAAGGCCTGAGATTTAAGAGGCTGGGACTGACAATATTTGTCTTAAAGGCGTAAAAATGACTGTGAAAATGACTCTTAATTGTTAGATAATCCAAATCGTGCTGATTAATGTCACGCTCTTCAGTTAATCAACTAAAAGATTGCTGCTCTTCAAATTGTAAGAAAATGGTGGCTGTGAATCCTCGCCTTGTCTTTGTTGCTGCGTGAATTGTATAAGAAGAGGAAGAAGGAAAAAAAACGAGCTATTTAAGGATTGCCCTCCTTGACTTTTGCCTGAGCGCCGATGACGAGTCGGATGTCTTAGATGCATAAAGATGAGATTTTGACATGACTTCAAAAAGAGAAGCATACGGATGAGGTGGACCCTCTGCCAACAGAGAGGCGAGGAAACAGATGGGTTTTTCACAAACAGCGCAAACATCAAGAACACTGAGTTAAAGAGCTTGGCAGTCTCACTTGATGAAACAGTGAGGAATTGAGGCGCTTTTAATGAGCATCTCTCCTGTGATGCAGAATGTGAAAAGACAAACTGTTAGCTCTTAAAGGGGCAGTTACAGTTGGTTGGACCTCGCCGGTTGAGCTGGACGGTTGGGCTGACTTCTGGTCGGTGACTTCGGTCAGTAGATTACTTCGTCCTTCATGGAGATGTCCAAAACCATCAGCAGAAAACCAGAGTTCCCACAGTTAAACTGAAGTTACTTATATCAACGCAGCCACCCTGTTTTTCTGTCTGACTGACACTGACAGATGGAGACCTGCCAACAGATGGCGCCAGATGCTCGAGAGGGGTCAGTGGTGGCAGAAAACAGAGTCAAAGAGAATCAGTGTGAGGACTGACCATTTAGCTCCATGTCCAATAGAACCTGTCGATCGTTGGGAGTTTTCAGACCGGCTCTCTTGATACGTGACCGAGTGGTCCTCAGGAATACTTCTCCAATTGTTCCATTCTAAGATGACCCTACGTTGCTCTAGTAATGTTGAAGTGTTGAGTTTTAATGGATGCTTCATCCCTCCATTTGTAGTCTTACCTTTGGTTTTCTCCTTGTTTTCCTTCAATGGCCTCTCTACCGCCGGCCTTTTGCTGAGAACATTCTCGATTTCAGTGGGTTTTTTGCTGCCCCTTAAGGTCGTTATCATCAAGTCCTGCTCTGCCTGCAAACTTTTGTCTTCACCAGTTGTCCTGTTTCCTTTGCAATGCACGTCATCTTTTTTGTGTAACTATTTCAGACATATCAAACTGTGGCGTTTTGGGAATGTTTTGCAGACAGCGGAAGATTTGGGAATGAAATATATGTCTTTGCAACAAGGTGCTTAAAAATTCAAATGAAAACAGATGCTGTTGACTGTTATGTATGGAACCAAGTCAGGCACTTTTTTATTCTTAAATGATTCAATGTTAAGTAACAAAAACACATTCCCACCCCTAAAATGATCAGATAACAGGACCGGATATTTACAAGAAAATGTGTCAAAGAAGCCAAAATCTTTTGAAAGACCTTCAGAAAAGCTGAAGAACTATTGATCAGGACCACTTTAAAAGATTACAAAACAATTTGACTGGCGTGGCGGTAAAAAAAAAGTCTGAATAGCTAAACAGAAAGGTCAGCATGCACGTATGAAATACACCATCTTTAATTACTATAATAGTGCTAATGTGGCCTCGTCCTTGAAACGGCGTTACAGTTAAAGGCGCCGTGTTCTCCCCCCTGAGTCGGCGGGCTTTAACGGCTGCGTGCGCTGCACTAGATTTGCGCTGCAACCTTGTGCTAACCCCCTCACCCCATCAGAGCAGAAGGCACTTATATTTTCTCTCCTCCAGTCACTCAGAAGATGATGGCGTTCACAAGTCAATATCTCTGAAGTGGGAGTGTGGCGTGCTCAATTTTGCCGGTTGTTTTTAATAATTTACCTGATGTGGAGCGCGTGTGTGCGTGTGCGTGGCGGTGGGAGGCGCTCCGCCAGAGGGCCGTGAGGATATGTATGCAGGGCCACGGTCGCCCCACCTAGCCCCCCCCCCCCCCCCCCCCCCCCCCCCCCCCCCGCCTGTCCTACACACTCACCACACCCACGGGTGATGTAATTGGATTCCACGGGTCCCCATTTTACA